AGTGTTTTTTTTGCTGTTGCAGCAAACTTAAGCGAAGCTGAGAAAAACTACCTTCTGTTAGCTGATAAGTGTTCAGCGAGGGGGATGTGAATATTGTACATCCTGAACAGGCACAGTTCTCCTGGTACGTGGTGTGTCCCTGCCTGTCCTTTATGCTATCTTTGTAGTGTAAACTGGACCCTACTTTGCCTTTGAGAAAGGACCCGTTATCTGCCTTATATTTGTACAGTGCTTAGCACAATGTAGGCTGCTCCTTAAGTACTTACCAATGCAACCATGACTAGCCATTTACCCTTGCTGAAGGGCTCAGTATGGTTTGTCCCTGTCACTCTTATAATGCAAATACCTAAATTTCTTGATCTATTATGCTCAGTGATGGACTGCTGCTTACAGGATGCTGTTGGAGACAGAGCTGCTTTGTACTTGCGTTGTCTTTAAATATGCAGAAAGTGAGTAAAATATTGTCGGTATAATACTGTATACTAGGCAGGACACTACAGACACACACACATATGCTTTTTGTATACTGCAGATATGGATATTTATTTGTGCGTGTGTATATATCTGTGGGTACAGATTTTTTTTTCATAAGGACAGATCGCTTTCTGGAGGTTAGGAGTGAGCAGTGTGGGTAGGGGCAGTGATCTGCAGAGCCCCATGCCTTACCCTGTAGGGTGGGAGAGGACTTCTGCTCTCCCCCAGAGCCCTAGCTCTTGCTGCAGCATGCCAGTCTGCCCCAGCACAGAGCTGGTCCTAGGGGTGTCTGCTGCACCCCTGCGTGCCTTGGGGCAGTGCTGTCTCCATGGGCCTGTCAGGTGCTCTGTGGTGGGAGTCGAGGTGGTGGGTCAGAGCCAGGGCTTGGAGTGCTGCTGGCCCTGCTGGAACTTGGTTTGGCTCTGACTAAATGTGGTTCTCAGGTTGCCTCTGGTGCCACAGCAGCCTCCCCCGGTAGGCTCAGTGGTGAGTCCTACATGCAAAGAGGTGGGGCTCTACGCTTGTTTTCTCACAAGGAGGTAGTGGTGGTGGCAGCAGCCTGGCCTGGCTCTGGACTGTCCTGTGCCTGGTACAGGAGGGCATGTGTAGCTGTTCTGCCAGCGTTGCCCCAGAGTTTTCCATTTCTTCTCTTGGGAAATGGATGTAGGGAATATCTCTTGGGCTGCCATTTTATGAAATTATTTTCCAGCTCCTTTCTAAGCTTAACAAACTTTGAGTCAAACAGCTGTCAGAAGCTGGGATATGTAGCTGTTCTGTCTGGAAAAGGAAAGGACTTCCTGAAGCACAGCAGGTTGTTATCTAACTGCATCCAGGAAAGCCGGGCAGAATCCAGCTGCACTGTGTGCTGGAAGACAGAGCAGTGATGTTCCTGATTGCGGACCGTGGGGCTTGAATAGCAGATCCTGCGTGGAAATGGTGTCCAGGTGTGAGGAAAATGCATGGGTGGGAGGAGGCAGCGTGAGCAGAGGAGGGTACAGCGCATTCACGGACTCCCATTGCGACAGCAGTGCCGTGGGCTGGCTCTGTGCCCTGACGGAACAGCTGGGGCTGCCTGGGTGGCCGCTGCCACCAGGTGCGTGCATGTCCCTCTGGTGGGTGTGGGAAGCTGGAGGAGCAGGTTTCCAGCCTTCCTGACAGGTGTGCTGCAGTGGAGGTGGTGAAGGGCTTGGCAGAGTGGGTGCTGCAGCCCGTTCTCAGCCAACTTCAGTCGCCCTGCACTTGTAGAAGTGCTTCCTGTGAACTCACTTCCTTCCCATAGAGAGTTTTGCTAGGCTTCACTGAATACAGAACAGAGGCGTTGCATGTTGCTATACCTCTGTTTTGAGGATAGTTGATACTTTCATAAAGAAATAATGAAAGAAGGAGTAGTTTAAATTGCAGAAATAATTTACTGCTCTTCTGCTGACTCTTTAAACTGGCAGCGAGATATGGTGTTCTGATAGCCAGTGAGATGGAAAACCCATTCTCCTGAGAAAGCGAATCTGAATTATTTCCACCACCACAGCAGGGTGCATTGCGTAGGGCTGGAATGTACCATGACCTGTCAAAATGAATGACTGAAAGCAGGAAGTCGTTCAGCTTGTTTTCATGTATGTGAAGTGAGGGGATGGGAAACGAAGAAAGAAGGCTGTATTCTCTTGATGCCCTTGTTGCCCAGTATTAAATGAGGCATCTTTCTGTTTTTCCAGCAGATCCGAATCCTTTTTTTTTTTTTTAAAACTTCTGGACCTATGGACCTAGGGCCACAAACTTATTGAGGATATATAGTTACAGCATTCTCAGTTTTGGTGTTATTGGTCTGTTATAGATGTGTGCATTGTTTTAATTATATAATTAAACATCCCACAACACAACATCCTTGTCACTAAATTGGAGAGATAGGGGTTTGATGATTGGACTGTTAGATGGATAAGGAATTGGCTGGATGCCTGCATCCAAAGAGTTGCAGTCAACTGCTCCATGTCCAAATAGAGATCGGTAACAAGTGGTCTCCCTCGGGGTCTGTATTGCAACCTGTGGTGTTCAATATCTTCATCAATGACATGCAGTGGATTTGACTGCACCCTCAGCAAGTTTGCGGGTGATACCATGCTGAGCAGTGCAGTTGATTTGCAAGAGGGAAAGGATGCCATCCAGAAAGACCTCGTCAGGCTGGAGGAGCGGGCTTGTGCGAACCTCGTGAAGTTCAGCAAGGCCAAGTACAAAGTCCTGCACCTGTGTCAGGGCAGCCCCAGTACAGACTGGGGGGATGAATGGATTGAGAGCAGCCCTAGGGAGAAGAACTTAAGGATACTGGTGGATGAAAAATTTGACATGAAATGGAAACGTGTGCTTGTAGCCTAGAAAGCCAACCATATCCTAGGCTGCATAAAAAGTGTGGCAAGCAGGTCGAGGGAGGTGATTCTGCCCCTCTACTCCAGTCTCGTGAGATCATGTGCTTCAATGTCTAATGGGTATTTGCTTTCACAACGAGTGTTTGAGTTGTATTGCATCTAGGGAGGCCTTAGTTAGCTCCTTCTATCTGCTCTACTGGACGCGTAAAACACTTTCCTTGTGCCTTTACCAGCCTACTCGTAGTGTCTTCTGGGTGGTGATGCAACACAAATTTAAACCAAATTTTGCTGGCATCTTGGGTCATTGCACTGTGGAGCATCTCCCATTATACACCACAAACCGTACAAGAGGCTTCCTTGCACCTAGTCTTAGGTATTCTTGTTGTTCTGCTCTAGCATGCTTTAAAAGTTTGGTTAAGTCACTGCGTAGCAGCAAAGCATCTGAATCATCTGTGAAATGTGCATGCTCTAGGAGGCAAGCTTTGTCCCTTACTGTGCTAGAAAGGGTATAGTTGAGCTCAGGAAGTGGCAGTATGTAATGGCAGGATGTTATAAAATGCTGCTATTTCACAAATCCTCCTATTTAGTATTGATCTGACAGCTACGCAGCTTTCTACACCCTTTACGTAAATGTGTCAACATGTGTATATATACACGTTTTTAAGCATGACTTGTGAAAGTCACGTGGCACTTCGGGACATGGTTTAGTGGGCATGGTGGTGTTGGGTTGACGGTTGGACTTGGTGATCTTAGAGGTCTTTTCCAACCTTAATGATTCTATGACTTGTGAAAGTAGTTGAAGAATAGATTTGCTAGAGAAAATTCATTGCAAAGTAATTTGATATCAGATACTGTGTAGTTTAAGAAGTCACCTTAGTTATGTGACCATTCTTGCTGCTGTTAGTATTGCTGGTTAATGCTATGTTACGTTTAGGTATGTTTTCGTACAGGAGATTAAAATATGGCTCTGCAGCTATTCAACTCTGATTTCTTGTGAATAGTTTTAGTAGTATCAAATCTGATTGAAGTGGACATTTAAGAAAAGCTGTTACGAATTTTGGGGAAAACCAGATGTTTGCCAGGAAATGAGGTTCAGGAGGCAGTTCAGCTCTTTCTGATTTGTTAGCCAGCATTTGGCAATTACTAGCAGCTGTCAGGGCAGGAAGAGGTAAGTGAAGGTAGAGGAGATCTGTCAGCTAATTCATGTCATGTAAGATGGGCCTTTGACAGCCTTGGTTCTGAAGAGCAATGTTAAAAAACCAAGGTGATAAAGGCAATGTTAGTTTTATGTACTTTTTAGAAAATATTTTTCTTCTCAAATTGGCCCTTCAAATAGACACTGAAAGCAGTAGCTTAATTGATCTCCTGGCAGCCAGCAGATGAATATTACAAAGCAAATGCACTTAGCTGCTGGCTAGCTGTGTCTTCTTCCCCTGCCCTGTAACACTTTCCCATGTTAACTTTCTTAAGGTCCAAGAAGAAATAAGCGTAAAAGAGAGTGAGGGGTAGGTTAACATCATTCTACTGTCTTGTACCACCATTCTTGTACAGCGTCCCTCTACCTCCAAAGAAAATGAATATTACAAATGTGTGATTTAGGGTAGCTCTTAGTTTCATAATTTGCTTCTTTTTCCAGGGTACAGAAAATGAGTAATTTGTTTCCATATATTACACCTTTTGTTCTACTAATCTGTGTAGAAGTGAGGCAGCTCCTTACACAGGACTCAACAACTCAAGGTCCTTTTTGGCTTTTTCTTTTTTTAAATCTGAGAGAATTTGTCCCAACAGCTTTGTTCTGAAAAGTCCCAGTTTATTCCTCCTTTAGGTACAGCCAGACCAAAGCATTCTTTCTCAAATGACTCCTCAAACCTGCCAAGTTTTGTTCTTTGCCATCTTTGTGTTAACACATCTACCCTAATGTGAGCCAGGATGTACTTAGTCAGTTTTTGGGTACTAGCTGCTGATGCACAGAGCCACAGAGATGGGGAGAAACAAAAAATGCTGAAGAGGGGAAGGGTGCCGTCCTGATCGCTGTCACAGCCCCCTAGCTTCTATTTACTATGTTTGGTACTAAACAAGAATCGAGTGAAAGATAAAAAGGAAAAATTGCCTTTTTCAGAGAGAGTTTACCTAAATGCTATTTTTATTGCTGCTTTTGTGTTTTTTCTGCAGAGTGGGAAGCCCCCAGTTAAGGACATGTTCACAGATCTGAAAGATGGAAGGAAGCTTTTGGACCTTTTGGAGGGTCTGACGGGGAAACCTTTGGTAAGAAAAATGTGTATGAGTCATATTCCCATTTATTAAAAAAAAATCCCAAATAAACAGAACACAAAACCCAAACTGTAGCGTGTGATTTTTGATTTTAATTTATTTAAAAACCTATTTTGCTTGCAATATGTACTTGCTCTCTACAGTTCCAGTGAAGTTCCCATGAACTCCGTTCATGGGCTGTAGGGTCAAGCTGAAGTTAGCTGTGTAACCCTTTCTTGAGGGTTAACATGTTGTTTAGCAAAGCATGTAAAGCCAGTGCTGTTACTCCCATAGTGTGTATTATTAATAGAGATATTTTTAAGGTCTGCTTCTGGGTGATCTGAAATACCTGTGGACTTTCAAATAAGCTCCTGAAAGATCCTTTAAAAGAGGGGGTGGGGAAGAAAAAATGATAACAGCTAGTAGGCAGTATAAAAATCTGCATCTCCATTGAAAAATCCTTTATGATCTACTATGATGGGAGAGGGCTAAAACTACTCAAGTCTTGTTTGGGAAAGCATGTGTGGGGCTGAAAACTCTTCCCTGCCAACATTGACTCCTCTTCAGAAAGATACACAAGTCATGGTGAAACCTATGCTATCCCTTGGGATTAAATTCTTGATTTCACTATTTATAATAAATCTGAGTCGTTTATTGACCTTATGGGGAAACCATCAGCCATTTGTAATTTCACCTTGCAAGCTTGCCTTGTTTTTTAAACAGATGCATTTCACTAGTACTTCTAATGATTTGTGGTCTGATTTGAAGTGTATTGAAGACAATATAAGCTTTTTAGGTTCTAATTTTGTTGATAACTGTGTTCCAAGTTCAGCTTCATGCTCTTGCGGTACGATTATGTCCTGCCACAGGAGTTAAATTCCAGTGATTGAAAGCAAATGGAGTGGCAGGTATTGTAAAGAGTTGGAGAGTGTGTCCCCTCCCCACCCCATATTAAAAGGAAGGGAAGGTCAGGAAGTGTAACTTCTTCCCAGTATGCAGAGATTTAGCAGGCTTTTGGTGCCAGAAAAACAAATTGCTGCTTGTTCCTTCGTGGGAGCCAAAAAATTTCAACTACTCTGGCAAATGTTCAAAACCCTCAGATTTTCCCCGGGAACTCCCACTTTGCTTTCTGTTGCCAGTTTATAGTGCTGCAGATGCTGGGAATAAAAATTCTGAACTTGCTGAAGATTGGCTGAAACACATTTTGAATCCAAGGCTTGTCCTGTGCCTCGAATTAAATATTGTTCTGACCAATTTTCATTTTGATGTTTATTTTGAAATTCTTGTGGATGAGCTTCTTTGGGTTTTGTTTCTATGGAGAAAAAAAATCTGGAGGAAATGAAGACAAATTTTCTATTGTTTGGTCTATCACTTATTTTGTTAGATCTGTCAAGTTAATTCTGATGTGAACAGATTGTAACTCTTTCTTTTCAGCCTAAAGAACGAGGTTCCACACGAGTACACGCCTTAAATAATGTCAACCGAGTACTACAAGTCTTGCATCAGAACAACGTGAGCAGTTTTTCCACAACTTTTTGATAGACTCTTCAATTTAGTCCTGTGTGTAAATGGGTTCAAAATGCAGCAAATAAAGATTTTTAGGTACCTAAAATAAGAATTCAGTGAGATGGGTAAACAGTTTTCTGTTATGTGATGTAGAATTTTAGTGTCTGACAATTTTGTGAAATCTTAAGATGCTAACTTAATAATGTTATTAACTAAACTGCGTTTTGTGGGGAAGTGTTCAGCTCCAAAACCAAAGCTGACTTAAAACTCTGCTATGTGTAGCTCATGAACCTGGCAGGACAGAGAGCTAATTTCCAGGGAAGATATGTAACTTGTCCAAAAATCTTTAAGATGAGGGTTTTTTGGTGTCTGTTTTTCATGTCCTGCTCTCAAAATCCAGGAGAATCTTTCTGTTGACATTTGTCAGCTCTTTGTCAGATCTGTACTGACTGTTCCTAATTTGGAGCTTTGGTAACTCATCAGAAAGAACAAGCTAACAAACCGCAATCCTTCTTTAAGAAAAATGATAATAATAATTGTTTTGTTTTGGTTTTACTGCCTGGAAGCTGGTAGTGCTGTAGTAGTGATTTCATTTTTCTCTCTGATGAACAATTCCTGATAAGCATACTCTCTATAGTTAGAGTTTCTATTTGCAAATGTCAGGGCACTAAAATAACTTAATAAGAACGTTCTGGCAATAAAATACATCTAATGCAAAAAGGCACTGACATAGTTATGTAAATTGCTGATTGAAGAGCGATACCAACATGCTGTATAGTACTGCAATTTCCCCTCTGTGTTGGTGGACTAGTGTCATATTTCTGGTTAGTGGTGGGTTGTTTGGGTTTTTTCTAAGGATAAGTAATGAGTCTTTGCAGCTTGAAATTGCTTTATTTTATGAAGATAATAAATGAAATAATATTGAAGTACAATAATTAGTCCTTCCTTAAGCTGGCAGGATCTGGGTTTCTAGAAGTAAACAGATGGTATTAGTTAGCTGAAGGTTGTTACGGTCATGTACATGATTTATACCTCCTGCTTAACTGCATTAGAAATTGTTTGTGTGTGTTAAGATGAAGGGAAAAGGTATCCACTGAGAAGCAGTTGTATTCTATTGCCTGAGTGTTTGTGGGCTATATAATAGTCAGAACTTGTGAAATAATTTATAAAAATGTTTAAATATATATTGCAAGGATCAGACAAGGCTAAGGTCTACGCCTTTTTCAAGTAATCCTGTGAACCTCTGCCATCTGATGAACAGTATAATTATATGTAATGAATTTCAACTTTTTTGATTTGTGGACTAAGTCTTTAAAAATAATAAAAGAAACCCCACTGGAAATCAGTCCGTATAGTCAATATCAGTCTACCATCAGTAATACTGACTATCTACTGTCAGCTTTCTATTATTGATTCTTTACTTTAGTCTTGGTAGTCCGCTCGCCATCCTGGTGATATCCTGCAAAGGCTATATCCTGCAAAGAATTGGTTTAGTTCAGAATCATTAAAATACAAAAATTGGATGTGGAGTATTTTCTTGAGGTGTAGATAGCAAGAGGAATGTATTATTATTATTTATTATTATTGATGTGTGATTAAAAAATATGAAGTGGGTTTTTTCTTACCCATTCTCAGGAGTGTCTGTTACAGGTGAAAAAAAGCTCTCACAATATAATTGTTTTATTTTTTCTGCCCTTGACCTTTAATCTTGCTTTCTGCTCCTTGTGTTCTGGAGTGCTTTCCACTGAGTTGTTTAATGATCCGCACCGGTGATTCTTTTGGCCTGTTTTTGCATGTTTAATTTACAGTTACCTTAAAGTATATGCCCAGCACTTGCAGAGTATTGCAGTAAGATTCTGTTCCAGCTGTAACAATTGGGAGAGGACAATCCACAAATCCACAAGCTTCCTTAGTGCTTTGAAGTGTAACTTGTGGCTCCATGTTAGTCTCACAACACAGTTTTGATTTGATTCACCTAACCAAGAGACCTCTCGGGAACTGAAAATTGTCAAGATGACATCTAAAAGCAATGAGTTTACGAGTACATTTTGCAGAATTGAAGCTATTTGTGATTGTGTGATAAGAGGAAAAATATTCTTGGAGTACCATTATATTCTTATTTATCAGCAGTATCTGCTAAAACAAAATGAAACTTTGTTCCTGTCTGTTCTGTCATTCTAGGCTACATCCACTGAGGGCCAGCGTATGGGCTCGATTGTCCATATCGTTTAATAGCTAGTCAGCTCCGTGGTGCAGGTTTTGTCTCTGACCGGTTCTGGTCCCAAGCAATGCCCAGATACAGTTTTTGGGGTTAGTGTAAGCTGGGAGGTGTTTCTGATAGGCACTGTGAATAACACTGTTTTGCAACAGGTGTGAGAAAAGGAGAAAAAAGTTTCCCCATCGAGATGAAATACACTCTGCTGCTTGCCCCTGGGGCTGGAGGTTATTTACAAGAATGAAGCCCCACGATCTGCCCTGTGTGGGAGTGCATTGCAGCATCTGCTGTATATGCACATGCACCCGGGGAGGTATCTGCTGCCTTTGCCATAGGCAGCTGTTCCTAGCCCAATTTCCGTAGGTAAGGTGGTGACGAATGCAGTGTGCTGCTGTTGGTTCCCTCCAAAAGGTGGTTCAGAGTTAGTGCCACTTTCTCTGCATTGACTGACTGGAGATTTGATGCCCCAATTCAGTTCAGACTCCAAAGCAGCACTGAGTGAGTATCTGGTAGTGTGCTCTAAGCTTTGCTGATTCTGGGGGCTGAATACTTGGTGCAAGAGCGGGTAGCCTCTCCTGCCCTCTTACTTACTAAAGTAATCTCCTTGTCTCCATTTCTGTGTTTTTATCTTTTTAATGATCTCAATCAGACCATCAGCTAGTCTGTGTGGGGTCCTATGCATACAGGGAACTTGAAAATTTCATTTTTCTCCTGAGCTTTTGGTGGTCTTGTAGAAAACTTGTTCCATTTGGTTGCTGGTTCATGCAAAGGACAAAACAATTCTTAATTACGGAGTTTCCATGGTTCTGTATTATCTCTGAGTGTGTCTAGGAGTAGGACTGATTAATTTTTTTTTAATACCAGGTCCTGCATGTTTGCATTTCTATTGGTCAGTTTTGACTGCTGGTATGCATCTGTGTATTAGAGGAGAGGATAAAACTCTTCCAATGAAGTATCTTCTTTGGTGCCCTCTCTTGTCATGTTGTTTAAGCAGTTGTTAAGACAAATTCAGATAGACGGTACTCTGTCATCTCCGGTTCTCTCTTCTAACTACCTTTTATTTCAGAGCACTTGATGACATATGGCTGGACAGCTAGGAATATGGGGTGGGGTTGTGACTTGAAACTGTGATAACAGTGTTTAATGTAGAGTTGATCTGATCTCTGCAGGTGGAGTTGGTGAATATTGGAGGAACTGACATTGTTGATGGAAATCACAAGCTGACGTTGGGGCTGCTGTGGAGCATTATCTTGCACTGGCAGGTGAGGGGCTGCTGCAAGATCTTTTCCTTTCCAGGAATCGTGTGCGTTGATCTGCTGGGATTCTCACAAATCTTCCTGGGGTTTTGGTGGTGGAAAATACTGCTTCTATTTTGGGCTGGTAAATAAAGGCAGGACAGTGTTTGGTTTCTGATCTCAGTCTATTGGCTGCCTCCCATGATACGTGTTCTTGTATGGGCTCAGTTGTACTCAGCCTCTCAGTTTAGTTCCTGCTGGTGTTAATTGCAGAGAGGCTTTTCAGGCTGAAGCATTGTGTTTGTATCCTTCTTCAAGGCTTTTATGCACTTGTTAGCAGGTGTGTTTTTACTATCTGGGTAGCTGTGTTTGGGCTTGCATCTTGTATGTGGCTTTGTAGGTTTATTTCTCAGTCTCATAGATTGAATTGCTCCTAGTTTATCCAGGTAACTGGGAGGATCATTGAATTCACTTGGAGGGATTTTGGCAGATGCTTGTGCATAGTACCCAAACAGCAAACTAATTTTGTTGGCTGAGCAGATATCATCTTTCAGAAAACCTCTGCAAGCTGTATTTTTGGGGTTTGCTTGCTGGTGGAGCTGCAGCACAAGGCTATGAGAAATGTTATACTCGGGCAGCACAGAGGAGAGGGGGAGGATCATAACGTAAGAGTAATATGTCATTTTTACATGAAGCACTACTGGTTCTTGTAAACAGTAGTGCCAAGATGGCCTGAAGGCTCACGTTCCCAAATTTGATGTGAGGAGTTAGTTTGATTCATAGATTTTCATGGGAAAAACTCTTCATGGTTTGTGAAATAGCTTGGTTCAAAGGTTTTTGTAAGCAGGAAAAGTGAAGAACCTGTCTGTAAAGTGTAGTTACTGCTGTCTTGCAGGTGAAGGATGTCATGAAGAACATCATGTCAGATTTGCAGCAGACCAACAGCGAGAAGATCCTGCTGAGCTGGGTTCGGCAGTCCACGAGACCTTACAGTCAGGTCAATGTTCTGAACTTCACCACGAGCTGGGCAGATGGACTCGCCTTTAATGCTGTCATCCACAGGCACAAGTAGGTAGCAAACAGCTTATCGTAGGCCTGATGAAGTAAGCAGCTTTTGTCCCACGTCTTTGCGCTCGAGCATTTGACAGCTTCTAGCCTGTTTCGGTGATCCATTGTTTTTTGGTTTTTTGTTGTGGTAACAATAACAATGGAGGAACGTTGCCAGAGCCTTGCAAAGAATGGAGGCAAGGCAGCAGTGTAACTCACTCGGTTCCTGCGTATGCATGCACACTTGCTAATTGAAGTGGATTTACCTCCCACTTAGTATGCATTATACAGTGAATATGCTGAACAGGTCTCTGCAGGGGGGGGTTGACCACCTCCTCCTCCTATACTTCCTTCCTCCTGCCCTCCCTCGTCTGCAAAGGGAAATACTTCTTCACTTGGACTTCGCCATATCATTTCGGTAGGAAAATAGAGGAGCTTCAAAATGAAGGAATAAGAGATTCTGTAGCTTTTCTGTAGTTTTTGAATACATCTTGCCTGAAAGACAGTGTATGCTGTTCTTTCAGGAGAACTGTTGATCAGAGGACTCAAAGGGTAATAGAATACTTCAGGTATCTGTACCGTATTCATCAGTTTGTTCATTATACTTTATAAGGGACGGTGTTAAACCTTCTTTGCACAGAGCTTTTGTGTTCTTTCTGATTTTTGGAGAACTCTTCCATAGTTTAAATAAATCATCATTACAGACTTCTATGAAACTTGCATACCATTTTTTTACTTTTTTTTTTTAATTTGAGATCTGATTCTGGGCAAGCCATTCCAATCCAGTGTACCTTAAATGAAGCCAGCTCATTGCTTTGCAAGGGCTGACTGTTCTTAACCATAAATAAACATTTTAACATGGTAATGGTATGATAATTTCTAGAATTTAACCAGACCTCCTGGCTGCCACGTATCTGGCATGGCAAATGCTTTATAAACACTCAGAATATTTATACCCAGCAGATACAAAGTGTTTGCAAAAGCATATGTTCACTTTGAGCCTCCTGTTCTCTGCTTTTAAGTGCCTATTTGGCCTCTGCTGACTGAAATAACAGGCGCTGTCACAGGCTCGCTGGCTTCAGGACGGGTCTGCCCTGAGACAGCCTTGTAGACCAGAGCTGGCTGGTGTTCTAGCCTGCACGGATGCGTGGGGAGCACCTGCAACACAGTGAGGGCTCCTGAAAGTTTGGAAGGACTTTTCTGGAAAGGCAGGACAATACTTGCAAAAGTCTCTCTGGAGTTTATCAGAAGTTTGACCAAGTCCCTTCTCTGGATGGTGTGAACTGTACTGGTGGTTTTCATACTGGTGTAATTGCCTGTAGTGGCGTAGCTCTGCTGCTGAATGTGTGAGCTTTGTGATGGAGAGAGCACCAGCTAAAGCTCACACTCACACGGGTGAGACCTAGGTGACCTGAGGGAAGCAGGAGGAGAGAGGTAGCAAAACTGGCTTCAGGCTGTTTGTTGGTCCCTATGCGTTGTGACTGTATGGCTGGGCTTTGCGGGATCTGAAGTCTGTGAGCTCTGTCCTTTTCAAAGCACTGTTAAGTAGCAAAAAACCCTGCTGAAAACTTTAACTGAGTAGCTGTGCCTTCCTCTGGCTTCCTAAAATTCCTCAGTTATCTGGCGCTGCTGATTTCCAAGCCTTTTATTCCTTCTTCCTGGGAACCTGGCAGCTGCCAGCACATCAGAATTCAGCTTTGCTGTCCCTGGGCACCAGTCCTTTAGCCAGGGAAGCATCATTTTCCCCACATTTCTGAGAAATCTTGAGCTGGGTTTAAATTTAGGTAGGCTTTGAAAGAAAAGCTTTAAAAGTCACTTGCAAGGAAAAAGGGGCTTGGGGAAGGTTGCAGAAGTATTAGGGCCATAAAGCTGTTTAGCTTACCCAGACAGTAGTGCTTCCCTGCCCAAGGGGCATTTTCATTGTCGCTTTTTTAATTTAGCTTAATATAGGAGAATTTTTAGGGACACCATTAAGAGGTTTAGTAGCTTGCTTTTCTCTTTATGTCTCTACCAACAATTGTTGGCAGTGCTGCATCTTAGCTATAATATCTAGTAACTTTGTAACACTTGTGGTACTTAATAAAATTATGGGAGGTAATAGGACCTATAAAATTTTACTGTGGTGGTCTAATTTCCTAATATTAGCTTATTTCCTCTTTGAGTTGAATTCTGCTCTTTGGTACAATTTTCTTGCGCACAGGTAAATACTTAGATTGCATTTTATTAAAATTTGTGTTGTCACTGCAGTGTGCAGGTAGTGCGTATGCAGTACACTTATTGCAATGTGTTTTTTAAAGTAAGAGTCTCTGTTAAAGCTTTATGTGAATCTGTGTGTTTATCCTTGTTGCTTCTTGGCGTGGAGGTATACAGTATTCCACTAGCTTCTATCAGGATCTTTGCTGATCTCTGTTCTCTGCTCACCCCACCTTCCTCTGCCTTTTTGCTTCTCAGACCCTACTGGCTTATGGCCTTTCTGTTTCACAAAGGGTAATGACTTGACAGATGTTAAAAGGATACTGTCAGATCAATTTACAACTGAATTAAGTATTAAAAGAATTAAAGGCAAGCCCATCTCTTATTCCCCAGGTTCTATAAAGCACAGAATCAATAGCAGTGTTTTAATGAGAAACCACTATTACAGGGGAATTGGAAAGTCTTTTAATGGCTCTGTAGTCTTCCAGCTGTGCTGCTGCAGGACTGGGCTGATCATGGCCTGTCGGTGTAGGTACCACTAGGAGGGTCCCTGTGTGCTGACCCCACTTCTGCTCTGTGCTCTGCTCTTTCCCCTTGAGAACTGCCGGTATGTTTTTGGTGCACAGCTGGGCTGGAGATTTGCTTTGGTTAATGCTAATGTGAGGTGAAGGCTGCTGGCACTGTAAATCCATCAGCTCCTTGGTCTGATTCATGTCATGAGTCTCATGAGCACTTCTGATGGGGTGGCTTTTTAGTAGGTGTGGGGTTGGTGTTTGTTTTTTTTTTTTTAATGGGGGGGGAAAAGGCCGTGGGGCAGGGTGAGTGAGCAGGGGTGGAGACTGCTGCTGCTCCTGGCTGTGATGATCCGGGGTAGGTAACTGAGCCACATCACAAGTTTGGAATGAGGCTTTCCAGGAACAGAGTGACTCTTGATTGCACAGCAGAGCCTGATGCAGAAAGCATGTAGTAGCAGTAATGCTATGAAAGAAACAGGTGAAGAAAACTGGTTCTGGAATAAATTTTAGACCCAGAATTTGTTTATTATCTTGTTAGTAATTAATCTCCTGTTGCAGTCAATGAGTGTATGTATAGAATACATGCAATAGAAGGTGGATGTTGCTGTGGGCATGCAGTCAGTTAATTGATTTGTGATCACCAGATTCTCACTAATAAAAAGAAAACGTATATTTGTATTTATGTGTTTGTATATATGCACTTATGTTTGTATTTTGTGTGTATGTTTATATTGCTTAGGTAGCTAGCTTCATATTCTGCATGGTACGGAATTTTTTTCTTCAGATAAAATTTACTGCTTGCTTTTCTGTTTTGTCTTTACTTTTAGACCTGAGCTTTTCAGTTGGGATAAAGTTATAAAGATGTCCCCAGTTGAGAGACTGGAACATGCTTTCAGCATAGCCAAGAACCACTTGGGAATTGAGAAACTGTTGGATCCTGAAGGTGGGATATAGTTATTTTACTTGACTAGAAGCTTTTTAGAGCTGTCTTGAAAGAAATTTCTACTATTGGCATTTACTAGGAACACAAATTCCGAAGTCTTGTGCAGTGATGTTTTGTTTCAAGCCCCTGCAATTGAGTTTAAAAGAATGTAATTTATAGGGTAATGGTATGTCTGTGCCTGTGCATGCTTCAGGTTCTTGAATGTTAAGGTTCAGATTGACTTTGCTGTTCAGAGACAGTATACAGAAGGTGAAGTTGGTACCTTGGCTTTGCTTTATTTTAGGTAGGAGTTCTACTGCAGGGTCTGTGCTTTTCTGATGAAATAGAGCATTATGTAGAACGGGATGGCAAAAGAGCTCATGATCTTTTCATTCTTTATATATATACTGAGTAGCGGTAGCTGCCAGTGCTGTACTTACTGTGTAGGAATGCTTAGCAGGAAACTTATGGCTGAGAGCTGTTGCTCTGCTTTGAAGTGAGCCTCCAAATGCTCATTCTGTAAGACAAGCTCTCAAACTTTATAGATTCAAGTACCACCTTAAAAAAAAAGTGTTACCTGAATGGGTAGCACTCATAAACCGAGAGATAAGTGAACCTGAGTTGGTGAAACTTTTCTGTATGAAAAGTAAGAAAACACACCAACCAATGTGGGGAGTGGGAATAGAGCCTAAATGGAAATATTTGTTTATTCAGGCTACTGTCCCTGAACTGCATTTCTGCTTTGGAGGTGGTCCAGAATAATTTTTCCCAAACCGTTTTTATTCCTTAGCAAGTTCAGGTTTGGGCTCTTACTTCAAAAAGATCATGCTTTTTAATGTTAATTCACTTCCAAATGTAGAAAATTTATTTTCTTAACTTTTTTCTCTTTCATACTGCTTTCAATCTATGTCAAACCTGACCTTTTGACTTAAAGCTTACTGAGAGCTACTTATAGGAGAACCTGTGATTTACACTGTAAAGTCTGAACTGTATTCTAAGTAATGATTTAGAAAATCAGCTTCTTCATTTATTTTTCCCTGTGTTTTATCTTTTTGATGCAGATGTTGCTGTACAGCTTCCAGACAAAAAGTCTATTATTATGTATTTAACCTCTTTGTTTGAGGTCCTTCCTAAGCAAGTCACTATGGAAGACATCCGGGAGGTGGAGACCCTTCCAAGGAGATACATTGGAATGTGAGGATGGGGAGTTTAACATGCAGCAGGTGTGTTCGTCATCGAAGTCTGCCTGGCTTTTCTTGAGTTGCAATTTTAACTGATCATCAGGCTTGGCAGCTCTCTCTGTCCACGATGGGACGCATGTTGCAACACAATTGGGAAAATATGAAAAATCGTAGCATATTCTCTGTGATTGACTTCAGTTCTATCTTCCTTTTTCTATTTTTCTGATTCATGTATAAAGTTCTGTCTGTGTTACACTTCTTTCTTCTGCTTCTCTTTCTCATTTGTCTTGGAAAGCTGGAGAGGGCGGCCCAAAATCTTTAACTGAATTTACTGCAGGACTTGCAGTGGTATTAGTGATGAGTTTTTGTTTGGGTGTGAGATCCACTGTTAAATGAGTAAGATCAAAGCTGTCTTTTCTATCCAGGTTCTTTATTTTAAAACGAAAGTTCATTAGTGGTGACTGTGGCCTCATTAAAATGTATCCAATGATTACTCTTTATGAAGCATTAAAAGAGATCTTAGTTGTTCTATTTTTGATGTTGTTTGGGAAGGCGTCTTCTGTGTGCTTCTGAGACCTCGCTTTTCTCTTGGCTGCCTAGGCTGTAGCACTTGAAGAGGAGCAGGGCAGTTCTAGAGCAGAGACTCCCAGCACGGTGACAGAGGTGGATATGGACTTGGATAGCTACCAAGTTGCCCTGGAAGAAGTTCTTACATGGTTGCTGTCAGCTGAGGATGCGTTTCGGGAACAGGAGGAAATATCTGGTGATGTTGAGGAAGTCAAAGAGCAATTTTCCACCCATGAAGTAAGCTTCTCTTAAATTCATTTGTTGTTTTTCATTGTGTGTGTGAGCTGTAGAACTTCCATTTCCTGGTCCTTATACCCAACCTGTCATTCTTTTGTCTTGCTTTTTCTAAACTAAAAGCACCTCTGAATGTGATGGTGTTTTTGTGGTGCAGTTTGTTTATTTTTTGGTTGGCAAATAATAGCTTCTTGAAAGTGAAATATATCTTTTTAAGAGAGTGGAATGTACTTTGAAACTTCAATGTATTTTTTTAATCAGCTTTTGGTGGCTAGCTCACTGGTGTCTATAATACAGACAGTCTGATCCAGGCTGATTTGTGCTTCTCTGCTGCCAACTACTAAAAAGCCTGGTCAGCCTTATGTCACTTGCTATTAAATAAGGGCAATGCTGAAATTGATAATCGTGTCAATTTAATTCAGTGGTCTCCCTGTCATGATTAGCATAGTTTATTTTAGAAACCTGTCGTTGCTTCCAAATTATTGTTTTTTCCAAATTATTTTGTTTTGGTTCTGTTCCTAGCCTGAACAAATGTTCTAATGTTGTTAAGTTTCAAGTGTCATGTTAGATGTTTTTGTTTTCTGCTGTGTCAGCTTACTGTATACAATTGAATATAAAATCTGAATGATGATCAATGTGAAGAATTTATTTTTTTCCTTGTGCTACAGTTTTAAAGCCATGAACCAAAGAAAGAGGTGTTCTGGATTTGTAGTAAATATGTGATTTTTTAAATGTTATTAAATCATGGGGTTCTATTTGCTTTCTTATGATATATTTCAGATTTGTTTTAGGCTCTGTTGGCAATAAGTAAGTTTCTGTTTTATTTTCTTGGTGCATTTGTTCAAAGGCTCTCTTACAAACAGATTTTTCTCTGAGGTGGTCAGCTTTTTTTTTTCCCCCTCAATTAGCTGTATTTTACTGGCTCCAGAGTTCTGTAGCTCACTAAGAATCTTCTGTGATAGAGAGGAACAGGTCTGCCATGCTTGTGTGTCTGATGGTGCCAGCTCATTCTGCAGCACTGTTTAAACCATGACAATTTATTAGGATGTTTACAAATTCGTAAATGTCTGTAGGAGCTCACAGATCACGGTGATGTGGCTGGTTCTACTGTTTTCAGGGTTTTATGATGGAACTGACTGCGCACCAGAGCAGTGTAGGCAGTGTTCTGCAGGCTGGAAACCAACTGGTGGCCCAGGGAAATCTGTCACCTGAAGAGGAATTTGAGATCCAGGAGCAAATGCTGCTGCTGAACTCCCGCTGGGAGGAGCTCAGGGTGGAGAGCATGGACAGGCAGTCCCGGTGAGTCATGCGGCACAACCTCTCCTAGAGTTGCAGGACCAACCTCTGGTGCTTATTGCATCTTGGAGGAGTTGTTTTGCGGCCATTTGTAAGGTGTTTTTTTCAGTTAACTCTTCAGCTTGTGACATGAAATCCACCTTCTTCATACTTTCCAAGATGAAACGAAAGAAATTAATATAACTGGGATTTTTTGGTTTCTTACAGAAAAGAATTTTGTGACTGTTATGTAAATGTGCTAGGCTATGTGTCTATATAGATAGATAGATATGTAGTATCTCCATGCAGTAGTTGCATAAATGTGCTTTTAATGTTGTTTCAGTAGTTTAAGTTCCTCAATAAAGCATATGGTAGATGTGGATAGCTGTGTGTGTTTACACAACTAAAAAGCACTTAGAAGAATTTTTTCCCACCTGTGGGTTATCAAGCCAAGAGCCACACATCAAGGGAGAAACTGTATTTTGTTGCAGCTCTCAGCAGAGGCTCTATTAGTGGCAAATTCCTGTTACAAGAAACAATCCCTGATATAAATAGCATAATTCACTAACTTTTTGTTGTTGAGAGAGAAACAAGAATGCTTAACTGTGTTTCTTAGCTTAATAGTTCAAATTTTATTTGATGATGGCTAACTGGTTTATGAATGGCCTTCCTATAGAGGAAGTAGAACTTAGTCTTTCTCCTTGGGAAAACTGTTTCTGAAATAACTCTGCTTGTGCTTCCCCCTGCAGCCTGCATGACATGCTGATGGAGCTCCAGAAGCAGCAGTTGCAGCAGTTGTCTGACTGGCTGACGGTGACAGAAGAACGCATTCAGAAGATGGAATCTCAGCTTTTAGCGGAAGATTTGGAGTCCCTTCAAAAACAGCTGGAAGAACATAAAGTAAACCTTTTTGTCTGTTGTGTAATACTTGGTGCGAGAAGTGTTTGAAAGCTGTGTATGTTGGTGGGTTCCTTAGCTGAGAAACTTAATTGTGTCTTATATGGCTGCATGCTGAGGAGTGGCATTTGATGCTTAGAAAAGGATGACAATGGGGTAGAAAGGAATGGGAAGTTTCTGGGAGCGCTTTCTTAACTGAGCACTTGAGCACTGACGACGGTAGCAGAAACTGTTACTGTCACTTCATGCAGGAAGCAAAATCTGTAGGGGGAATTGTCTTACCTTTGCTTTCTGCAGGAAATGAGGCCTCTCCAGGTAAATTGGTGTGAGGGACAGTATGAAATGTACTGTGGACAAACTTGCCTAGAATGACTGGCAGGCATTGCTAAAGCACGCTTGAGACTTGCAGATTAAAATAATACGGGAGTTAAAACTACCAGGAAGGGCTGCCCAAGTCACTGATTCCAGCCCCTGCTTTTACAGTGATTGTGTCCTAAGGAGGTGCATAGACACTGCTCTCTGATGTGCACAGTGTTTTGGACATGGTTGGTCTCTCAATTAAGTTTCTGGATGGGAGTCCAGCCTTTCTAGCCTGCAGTGGTGTTTTTTGTTTTTTTTTTAATTAAGGAGAAAGATGGCCTTTTGATACTTGTCATGGTTGCAGCTTTGGTTTTCATGCTCAGTGCTAAGGTTTGGCATTCTCCCCAGCATGGGACATACCTCACAGGGCAAGAACTGTGGAGTAATTTTATTCTCTGTAATTTCCTGTCCCACATTTGTATTCGTTCCTCTGTCTTCAGAGTCTGGGGTGTTTGAGGTGTGTTGTTCAGGGAGTAGCTTAGGATATTCTGGGATGAAAACAGGTATTTACAGTACTGTAAAGGTATATTGAACTTGCAGAGATATTTCGGAGGTAGGCATTAACCATGGAATCGGTTCTACTGGAATTTTTATGAATATTCAAATCTACAGATTATTTCAAACTAATCAAAGCTGTACACTTTCTGCAGTTTTTGACTTTTGTCTTTGAACATCATGATCAATTATAGCACCATTGATGCTTATGAGAATTATATTGTCAAGTATTAAAAGACAAAAAGTCTGTAGTGATTTTTCCCTGTTTGGCACGCCCTATGATACTTGCTTATTAACAATAGTTTTTTATAGACACACTTAAGCTCTTTTACCTATAGCAATAGACATATAAAAAGTCAATGCAGTTGTCATGATTCTTCTAGTCAAGTATGGTGCATACAGCTCAAAGTACTCCTTCATGTTTTCCAGCGTTTTAACAGAACAGTTTGGCATTAATTTCTAGCAGGCTTTTGCTTACATTTAAAATATGCAACAACTCCCAGTGGTAAAATCTGTCCTTTAACTGTTGAATCTGAAGAACTTTGCCACAGCAGTTGTGTTAGTCACGGATTAGCAAATATATTCAAAGTTGGTAACCTCTGACTTGTTCTTCTAGAGCCTGCAGAGTGACCTAGAGACAGAACAGGTGAAGGTAAACTCTCTAACACACATGGTTGTCATTGTTGATGAAAGCAGTGGGGAAAGTGCGACAGCTATTCTGGAGGAACAATTGCAGGTAAAATGTTAGAGCCCTCTTTTAACTGTAGTAGCAGGCACTTAAAATCTTTGCGTATAATTGTTAACCAACATTTTTATATTTAAAGACAATTTATCCTAGAAAGTAATTTAAAGTAATGTTTTCTTTAGAAGTAATATTAACATAAAGAATTATTAAATTTGTTGAGGGCAAAACCTCTGAAAGTGCTTTGGTGACTTTCAAGCTCAATTCCTGATGAGTTAAGCTATTTGCAATCCCAGTGACTTGGACACTTCTATAGTGTATCCTTTCAGCAGTTTCATTAAAATGGAAAGATGCACAGTACAACTCTTACTTCACATAAGTAGTTTTCACTAGGAAGTTAAAATCTGATGGGGAAAAATATTTGAAGACAGGAGCACAATTTTTCTAGGGAATACTGTGTGAAGTGTTTTCCCATATTTGTCAGAAGTTACTGTAACCTGAAGTATAGGGGGTGTGAAACATAATTTATTGAAACAGAATTCATGCCTCTTTGTTTGCTCCTTTTGACATCAATCAGATAGCTCACTGGCTTCAGCCAGAGCAGAGGTATGGCCATAGGAGAATGCTCTTGAAAGCTTTAACCTCCAGCTTTGTGCAATGTAGCAATGGTGATTACTGGCAAGGAGGTAGCTATAATGTAGAAAGAGATTACCGTGAAGTAGAAATTATGCTTTTAAATATCTGATTTTTGAGTTTCCTTGTGAGGCTTGTGAATGTTCGTGAGCGTTTCCTGCTTTTGTAGAGGCTTGGCGAGCGGTGGACAGCGGTTTGTCGCTGGACTGAGGAACGCCGGGTCAAGTTGCAAGAAATTCAGCTTTTATGGCAGGAGCTGCTGGAAGAGCAGGTTAGTAGCCTTTCAGTTACTTAGAGTGGTTGATTTGTGGAGGGGGAAAAAACAACCAAACAGAATAACCCCAAACCCGTTAGTAGGGTTTAACAGCTCTCGGAAAAGAAGCCTTGAAAAAACTAGATTTTCTGTTGTTGTTTGGGTTCCCAGCGTTTCTTTAGAAGTAGAGTAGCTGTGCAGTGCAAGAGAAGTATTTTCCGAAACTTAAGAAAGTTTATAGCTTCTTATAATTTCCAAGGTAGCTTGCAAAGTGGCCAAGAAGTGGGAATATCCATGATAGCAAAACGACAATGAATCACTAAGTATTTGGTGGCTTGGTAATTCCAGAAATTTTCCTCATTAAGGTGTATGTGCTTCCCACACGGGTACACATACACGATTGTGCAGTCAACCAATCAATAGACACTGTTTTCAAAATCAGTAATGTAAAACATTTGATCAATATAGTGAAGCACGTAGCTCGTCTCATTTTGCTGAGTTTAGGCAAACGGTTGAATTGTGAAGGTGGCATTGTGAGGTTTTCCTTACTTTGATATCATGTGTTTTACATATATATTAAATATGCTGCTCAAACACAGATTAACTGAGGGCATTAAAAAATATGGTAACACAACTGTTAGGTTTTTTAATGCCATCAGTTAATGCCACCTTCACAACTGGTTTGCATGCCTAGTGCTAGAGCTTGTTTTGTGCTCAGCTTAAAGTATTTGGCTTTTCCTTTGAAAGTTTTACTTAAACTGTTTTGGTTTTGTAAATGATGGTATTTATCACTGTAAGCTATTGTTTAAACTCTGCAGTACACACAGATTGTCTAGACATTTGAAAGAAGTAGAACAGTGCTGATATTGCTGTTGCTATCATTTACAGCCTGGTTTCTTTGACAGGGGTGTTCTGTCTGCGTTTTTTGGCGTTGCGTATGTGGCTCTCCCTGACCTGTCCCTTATCTATTCGCAGTATATTGATAAGCTGAGTTTGCAGCTCATGTGGCCTTGTTAATATGGACCCAAGGTTCAGATTCTGGTTTATCCAATGCCAAGTATCTGTTTATATATATTTCTTTAAAATACTGTGTTGGTGTATGTGTGTGTACATACAGAAAACAGCGTGCTGACATTTTCTGATAACTCTTGGGCAAGATAAATCTCTGAGTTGAGAAATAAGGATTCCTCAAAAATCCTTGCTCTGTACGTCAAGGTATTGGACTTCAAGTGCTCTCAGTTTTGGTGACCCTGTGTGAACATGTTTCTGTCCTCTTCCACCCTTACGTTTGTCTGGGGAAAGGTGACCACGCATTGACTATTACAATACAGTTAAGAGTGTCATCTTCTGTTGGAGTTGCTTTGCATTCAGCTTTTTTAAATTTGTTGTTAATTATGTTGCTCTCTAAAAATGAAAAAAAATAAACCTGTTTTTTATTTAATGTATATTAATATTTAATGTCAGATAGCAAGTAATGAGGAAATAGAAGTTCATTTTAGGTGGATTAGATCAGCCTGTGTCTTCATTTATTGTTCAACTCTGAACAATGCATTTACTACTTACAGGTTTGAATTACAGTTCTCTCTCTTCAAGAATTATCAAGTGATCTACAAAAATTACAATTTGAAAACTATTTAAAATCTTTAATACGAACACTTTAACACAAAAGTAACTAAAACACTTAGGTACTATCATTTTCTGTTTCACCCAACCAGATTGAGAGATGAGCAACAGTGATGCATCAGCCTTTTTGTGTCTGCCTAGAAAATTTTTGGAAACCACATTGCCAAGTCAACACAATTCTTACCACTCAGGAAACAAATTCCTCAGTCAGTGCCAGATATTTCTTAGCACTGTGATAATTATGTTTCAGTTTTCTAGGGAGAGCTATCTTTGACTGCTGATTTAGCAGAAATTAATTGAATACATTGAAGGGTTTTTAAGATCCTCTTATGCATAAAATATGTTGGCTAGGATGCCCGTGTGATTTTTTTTTTTTTTTTTTCCCCCCCCAGGGAGTATGTGGTGTTATAATGTTGTTTCTCGCAGCCTTATGGCATTTCCACCACCATCGTATTTGCTGTCTATACATTTTGTGTATTGGTTTACATTGGCAATGTAAGCTGCCTTAACCCTTTGGCCCAAAAGTTGCTGTAGTCAGTTCTGGGACAATGCCAAAAATATACAGCTAGACTGAGGAGTGTAGTGGCTGTTGTAGAGTATGCAGTTCAAAGAACAAAGGTCTGTCTTGCTGTATCATTTAATTTTTATTTTTTTTAAAGACACAGAGGAGTAGCAGTGCGCCAGTGGCTATGCAACTGAGCTTGGTACAGAGCTGGGTGTTCTAGTCTATGGAGATGGCTGTGCAGAAGCAGCAATATGTTGAAACATGATATAAAATGTATAAAGTCCTTCCTGATACTTGATGCCAGTTATTGCTGGAGTTTCCTTAGGAGTGCTGTGACTGAAGAGAAGTGGACCCAGGACAGGTTTCCCCCGGAAAAATGGAAAAAGCTCAAAGTCCTTGAGTTGGTACTGTCCAGAGCAGACCACCCCAGATTTCAGTGGTTAATGAGATAGTATTTGCTGAACTTAATTGTAATTGGAAGTAGGTACAGTAAGCAGGGAGATGGCTAATTAATATCTGAGTCTTTGACCAACTGCCTGGACTAAAAGAGCTCTGAATTATCAGCAGTGTGGCTTCTGTGAGAAAGCGTTTGTAATGACTGGTGTTGAATCACAGAGGAAGGATGGAGAAAGAAAGAAAACATACATACCATTTTGATATATCTAATTCTAATACAATTTATAAGTCCTACATCCACTTTATGGTGGATATCTAGTCGCTATAAATAACTTTGCAGGGGGAGGTGCGCTCTGATGTACTGAAAGATGGTTCTGTGGAAGTTGTTTTTGTGAAAGTATTATTTCTCTCATCTCATATTTTTTTGCCCCCTTTTATGTACTATTTTTGCTAATGCCAACTGAAATACCTGCATATGAAGACTACACAACTGTGCTTTCAATGCAAAGATCTTAGAGGGAATTGTCAATAGCTGTTTGACAAACTTGGCATTTTCTTGTGCTGTTTTTCTTACTATCTGCAGTGCTTATTGAAAGCTTGGTTAACTGAGAAAGAAGAAGCTTTGAGTAAGGTTCAGACGAGCAACTTTAAAGATCAAACAGACCTGAGTGTGAATGTTCGAAAACTAGCGGTGAGTATCGCTATCCTGCTCTATCTGTCAAATCCCATAGACTAAATGAATGGCAAATTACCAGTTTGACCCCAGTAGGCACTGTGAAGGCATGATACTTTGAAAACCAGGCCAATATTCTCTCCTTGACAGGTTCTTTCACTTGAATTTAAAAAATGTGTACATCTTACTCCATGGCCATTCCAGGTTGGTGTGCCGAACTTTGGAACAAATATCCTGGGGTTTTGACAGGGTTTGGATTTTATTGCAGGCCACCAGTCAGCTGTGTTTTCCGAAGTGTGGGGTTGTGGTCTGCATTTTTGTGTTTGTTTTTTTTTTAATACATTGGTGCAATTTGTATGTGAACTAATCATTTGCAACTGTTACTCAAGAGATACTGCTGATTGCTGTAGGAGCTGTTTCAGGGATGTGCTCTTTTTAAGAGTGTTTCAGTGCTTTGTTGCACAAGAGAACTGTTTTGAAACCTATGGTGCATCTGGCTCGGGCAGTACAATTTTTTTTTGATCCCCTCCCATGGAATTAAAAGCTAAGGGGTGGCAGAATGCTTGATGTAACTTTTCAAATGTTTCCTTCTAACTTCAGATTTTGAAAGAGGACATGGGTATGAAACGGCAAACACTAGACCAGCTGAATGAGCTGGGTCAGGATGTGGCCCAGATCCTTGGGCATGGCAGAGCATCTAGTAAAATTGATCAGGATCAAGAAGAACTAACTCAGAGGTGGGACAGTTTGGTTCAGAAGCTAGAGGATTACTCTAACCAGGTACTTCCCAAGGCTTTATGACTTTTAAGCTGTTTAGATGTCTGTATGTGTGCAAACGTCATTGATACTGTCAGTGACATTGCCCAGGCTCAGGCTAGAGGGGCAGGTGAGTGCTCTTTCACGTGGGGCTGACTGCATCTGCTGACAAAGCTGTCTGTGTTTTTTGGTCTTCAAACCCCAAGTTGTTAACCTGACTAGTACTATTACTCCTTTCTCACACAGATTAAGCTTCTTTTTTCTGATGAGTAAAGCAGCCTTGCCATATATTACCAATCAATGCAAATGTCTTTAAACATTATAAGAGTGCTGGGACTGGATTAAATCTGATACTAAAAGAAAACAAAGACAAAACACAAAACCCAGAATAGGTAAATAAATGGGAGTCATACAAGCATTTATGCTCTGTGAGTATGATTTCTCATCTGTTGAAAATAGAGTAGTTGTTTGTTTGATATATAATGATGATAGCCAAGCTGAATTGTTAAATGTTTATTTTAGTATTTTGAGTGCTTGGTAATGTTTTTATTTAGACAGAACTCCCATTGGCTTCTGAAAATTTTGTTTGACAGTTTTGACTCATATGTCCCTATTTTGTGAGACTAAAATGTTATTATGGCGAAGGCAGACTGTGGCACTGATTCATGATCCATTTAGTGTATAGTGAATGAGTTGTGTGTCTGATTAGGGGTCCTTTTCAGCCATGTGGCTTTAATTTGTTCTTGCATTTGAGTCAAAGCACTGGAGAGTGCCAAATCCTATCTTCATCCTTTCACTTCCCCCTAAATATCAAGCACATACTTAGAACTTACAGGTTGATTCCCATGAGACTTAGTTTATAACCTGTTAAAGAGTGTGGAAGGTTTCTATTGACTTGAGGTTTTGGGTCAAATCCACTGTGTATCAGCTCATGGATCTAGGATTGGTTTTATGGGGTATGAGTGTAAAACACAGAATTGTGTGTTAATAAACCCAAAGGACCTTGGTTCTTTCTGTGGACCTAGCAGTTATGAAAGAAAATAGATATAATGCTTATTTTGTTGATTTTAGTTCACTTGGTCTGGCATAAAATTCTAGTTGAACTGAGAATTTTGATGCTTGGTTCCCATCTGTAAGATAAGAATAATGAAGTTTTTCTCTGGAGTACATCTATGATAAAGGTTCTTCATGAGAGCTGGGTGTGGTCATTTGTAGGAGTGAATGAATGGGCTTTTATGACTGATGAGTAAGAGGAACTAAGCAAAAGCAATTCAGTTTGTGTTAAAAATGGCATTTAACTCTTTTGCTAAATTATTTTTGTATAGGTAACTCAAGCTGTAGGAAACATAGGGATGTCACAGGTTTCACAGAAGACTGCTGCAGAAACACTACCATTGAAGGAACAGGTAGTGGTTAAACAATCCAGACAGGAATTGCCCCCACCACCACCCCCAAAGAAAAGGCAAATCCCAGGGGACAGTGAAGCAAAGAAAAAGTAAGTATATGTCACTGCCATTTCCCTTTGCTTACTAGATACTACATAGACTTGTGTCTCTTGGTCTTGGCTTTTGATTCTCCTTTTATGTAAGTGAGAAATACTTGAATTGCAATTGTAAGGTTGGGTTTGGGGAATGGGAAGGGAATGTTATGTATAGCCTTGTTTTCAGAGCAGCAGAAAGCCTGCAGCTTCCATTAATTTCAAAGGGAAATGGGAGTTTTTTTGTTTCTCAGAAAAGCAGGTCTTCAGTCCTTTGTGCCTCAGCTCCTTTGCTGAAAGATAAAATTAATTATATTTACTTTCTTTTGGAAAAAAGGTCTCATCTTTGGTTAAAAAGCATTGTGAAAGTGCCAAGTATTTTTATATATTTATAATCTCTGTAAAACGTATGGGAGCAATGGGAGTAACTGCACAAAAAAGGCTCAGAAACCTATTCCATCTCACTGGTGTTTAGTAATAAGAACAGTATTACAGTGACGTCTCCTTTGACAAGTGTATCTGGTGTGGCTGACTGATTTGCATGTATAGAATCATAAAATGGTTTGGGCTGGAAGGGACCTTCAAAATCACCTGGGCAGGGATGCCTTCCACTAGACCAGGTTGCTCAAAGCCCCATCCAACCTGTCCTTGAATGTTCCCAGGGAGGGGCACCCACAGCTTCTCAAGGCAACCTGTTTCAGTGCCTCACCACCCTCACAGTAAAGAATTTCTTCCTAATATCTAATCTAAATCTCCCCTCTTTCAGTTTGAAACCATTACCCCTCCTCCTATCACTACACTCCCTGATAGAGTCCCTCTCCATCTTTCCTGTAGGCCTCTGGAAGGCTGCAGTATAAGATCTCCCTGGAGCCTTCTCTTCTCTAGGCTAAAGAATATTTAGTAACATGTGCCTTTATTAAATAGAATATCTAAAACTAAAGAAATTGTTTCAAGGTAAATTAAGGAAGTAAATGCTTTATCCTCATCACTTTGCTTCTTGTGCTTGCCTCAGAAAATGAGCGTCTTTGAGGTGTCACTAGTTTAGGCCTTTGGCAGGTTGTTTGGGGAGAGGACAGAGGGCTGTGTCAAAAGCAGGGATTCTCTGTGCTAGGTGATGTGTGTTCGCACAGTGAAGAAGAGTTGTTCTCTTCATTTTTCTGGAGGGGGAATGGAGGTTTGAAGGGGTGAAGAACCTGCCCAAACCCTCTTGAGGACCCTGGTCAGACCCTCAGAGCTCTGGTGGGGGTGGTGTGTGCATGTGGGTGTTGCAGGGCAGTAAAGCAGTCAACAACCCGTCTGTCCCTTCTCTCTGTGTGCTCACAAGTTGTAGAAACTATTTTAGACTTTGAAAGCAAAAGTAATTTGATACTATCTTTTTTTTTCCTAGAGTTCAAACTTTTTAAGGACTGAGTCAGTTAAAATAGGTTAAACTTTCTGATGATTTAGCCTGATGCCATTTATTTATGTTGAAACCAACAAATGACAAGTAACTAGAATTTTGCAGGTTTTCTCATGAAAACTTTGAGTGACTAACAGTGACTTCTGCATTTGTTGGTAGGCTGTTATTCTGTGTTTAGTATAGTTGTAATACGGACTGACCTGTGGCCTGTGTAGTATGTCTGTCCTTCTTTCAAGTTACATACAGTATTGGTTAATTTGGGAGGGGTGTTTTTGTGTATTTTTTGTTGTGTGGTGGTGGTGGGTTGTAGTCTAGAGATTTCGGGCATAAGTTATGTTAGTATAGGCATGTCCACTGTAGCAAAAAATATTAAGGTATAAGCTAATCTTTAGTCAGTTAAGCGTTCAAAAAGGTTTGTCTACTGTCATTGCCATGAGTGCTTAAGCTGATAACTTTTTCTTCAGATTAAATAGTGTTGCAGTTTTACAAAATCCAGAAACTGTAGTTCTTATTTATCTTGTTCTTGAGTTTATTACTTTCAAAACACTCGACATTGAGAGCTCTTTTGTGACATATTAAAAGAAACAGTAATAATTTGCATGAAGATATGTATAAAAAAAAATTAAGAAATAAGTTGCAGTATCCATTCTGAATTGGCTCCCAAAGGCTAATGCCGTGGACATGATTTTTACTATGGCAGTTTTTTCAAAGTCTGTCTTACTGCCCGTGAGCAGTAATATGAGAAACACGAATCTTGTGTGCAGCCTTGCTGTTTTGGGATTGAGTAATGTGCTGAACTTTAAGACTTCTGATTTTTACGACAGAGTGACTGAATAGGGAAAAATTACAAAGAAAAAAGAAAACATTGTCTGACCTTCTAAACCAGGTTTGATGCTGCAAGTGCTGAGCTCTTGGACTGGATTTCAAAATCAAAATCTGCTATTCAGGCTACAGACATCACAGAGTACAAGAAGATGAGAGAGACTGCAGACATAAAAGAAAAGTTGAAGGTAAAATGGGGAGATAGTGTTCCAGTGAATAGTATATTTTGTCTCTAAGCTGGCTGTCAGCTGGAGGTGTGGGCTCATGCTTTATGGGGATTGAGTCCTTCAGTTAATCAGTTTCAGAACTGGATATACCTGGAAATCTCTGACGAGCTGGAACACAAATTTTTGCTGGTGTTGGGGTTCACAATCCACAGGAAATTTTAAAAACGTCTATTACTGATGTCTCCTTTGGAGTTCTGATAAATGCCTATCTTCAGGATTGGCATCTTTTCCACAAAGTAGTATATTTTGGCTTCATGTTTCACAGTTGGTGATGGACTTGATTGACACTACTTTTAGAATTTTGGCAGAGATGTGCAGGTGGGCTACTTGGAGACCCCCTTGAATCATGCTGTGACACTCTGCACACACTGTACCACCCAGAGTTCAAAGTGGGCAGTTGTTATAATGTTTGGGCGTGTTGTTGTTTGCTCTGTTAATTTTGGAGAAAACCTGATAGTTAATTTTGGAGAAAACCTGATAGTTAATTTTGGAGAAAACCTGATAGTTAATTTTGGAGAAAACCTGATAGTTAATTTTGGAGAAAACCTGATAGTTAATTTTGGAGAAAACCTGATAGTACGGTATTACTGAACTGCAAGACAGAATACATAATTTTACAGGATGCTGTGGGATCTTACCTGGATTTTATGTTCTGTTCCTTCCGTTTCAGGAACGTATTCTTGAGCCTTCTTGGTCCTTGAGCATGCTTTGTTAATAAAGGCTTACTGGAGCTTTAGCAGGACCTGAACCTGCTTTTGAAATCAAAGACATTACCTAAAAATATCTGAGGAAACTCCTTCACAGTGCTGTAGTGCAAAATGGTGCAGTAGGAACGTTTGGAATGACAGTACTGATAGAAATAAATACCAAAACAGCCTTCCTGATAGTTTATTTGTAGATCTTTATGAATGTTTGTAGCCCTTTATAAAATAGGCTCCAAGACAAACACCAAATTCCCATGAACAGCACTGTTTTTAAATGGTTGGGCTCTAAATGGGTAGGACAGTGTTTGTTCTTCCCAACTGTGCAAATAGACGCATACTTCTCCTGAATTTACCATAGCAAGTCTAAACCACACTAATGACCTTAGTTTCAAAAAGATTTTAGTTTGGAGATACTTTGTTGTAATCACAGAGTATATTGAAGTTGTGGCCTTGTGGCCAAGGAACTCATCTTTCCTCTGTGGATGTGTCCTATCTATTGGCTCATACAGGAGCATTCACCAATATTTATGACTTCAGGAGAAGTCTAAAAATCTTGGTAGTCACATAGGATTTCCCTCACCATTCCTTTATGAAGGAGACTGAAGCACTGGAGCTTATGAGAATGGATTACTAGTGTGCTATAGTTCTCACTGTTTGGACTTCTAGGGAACAGGCTTTTGTTCCCTTCTACTGGAAATCTCAATAGAGGCTGTTGAGGCAAAGGGACTATTTAAAAAAGGTCTTTTCTCCACTGGTTCACACTAAATAATTACAATTTCTGATCACAGGTGACTTGTTTTAGCTGGTGTCCCAATATGTGATTTCACATAGCAGGATCATCAACCCTTTTAACAATATTTTATTCCTGGTGGTGTCGTACTAGTCTCTTGCTTGCCTGGTACTTGTGAGAGCTAATGCCTTCTGCATTTGTTTTCTGAACAAACAGAACTAATGCATCTTAGAAGGTACTGTATCCAAGAAAACTGGAGTGTTTTCGGTAGTAGTGGGAAAATACATGTTACTGGGGCTGAGGGGGAAGTCAAGGAAAGTTACCCTCTCTGTATTCTTTTGGGGTTCACTTTGTAGATGATTGAAAAAGAAAGAGTTGAAAAAAGCCAAAAGCTAGAAGAACTGAAACGAAGTGGACATATGCTTTCGGATCAAATGGGAAAGGGTAAGCAAATTGAATGTTTTTGTTTTGTGATTTAACCAGATGAGTTGCTGGGAAATAATGCTGAAATACACTACCTCCAGTTAAGTGTCACAATGTATTCCTTCCCTCTCCTTCCATTTTCTTTCCTTCAGAGACACTGGTCATTGTTACTGGTATTGGTTATTGATATGGTTTTTGGTTTATGAAAGCTTATAGAAAAGCAATATTAAATATTAATATTCTTTGTTTAATAGTGTGTATCTTCATTTGCAACCATTTAAGGGTTATTTTTATCAAAATAGAAAATTTCTTGAAGTGGCAGTAACATGCTTCTGGGGGAAGGAGTTGATTTAATTTTAAATTGTGTGCAAATTTTAAGTATAAAATTTTAAAATATAACTGCTTTGAAGTGGAAATTTTGAAACCAAATTCAGCCTTGATAAATGTGTGTGTATATCTCTTTATTTTTAGTTTTCTCTATTTTTTTATAAAAACTGTCAGTATGTTTTGGTGATAGCCACAATTTATGGCTCAAAGGCAAGAGACAAGTTTACATGCTTGAGAAGATGATTGATTGTCAATTAAAACACTTATCCCTGGAAACTTATAGCTAACATCAGTGAAAGTTGAATCTTTAAGCCTTGCCAAAATCTTGTTTCATAGTATGACATAACTCTATCAGTGAAATGTGATTTTCTCCGTAAAAGAGCTGTTCATACCATCCAGAGAGTCTTTTAGATCTGCTGTGAAGTTGCTATGACTGGTAGCATTCAGATAGGTAAAAGGATGGTATTGCTGTCCTGCATACTGCCCAGCATCCCTTTTGGCAAATGCTGATTTCTGTTGGATTTCCCAACTGTCACATTTTTTCCAGCCAGTCCCTCTGCCTGGATGCCCCAACCTGCTAAGCTTCTTCAATCCTCCCCTCCTTGCCTACTATAGCTGAAACTTTTTACAGTGGGTGTCATTGCCCTGAAACTGATGGCTGGAAGCCACTGGTTTGACCTGGAGTTTGGGTTATAAGAATTTGTAGCTGTTCCTTGTCTTTAAACCTGGACAGAAATCCTCCCTCCTTACCCCTCTCTCTCTTTTATAAACCCCTCTAGCTGCAATAGGTCATGGCTATGGAACCAGTATCTGCTGGGCATAACGAGAAATGCATAGTTCAAAAACTGCCTTGTATCAGCAAAAAATAAGATACAGAAATCACTTCTTAATCGTTTGCTGTCTTAAAGGTTGAGATCTATAGAAAATAACTGGTCTACAATCCCTGGCTTTGTTAGGGTCTGCTAATGCGTTTTGTCTACCTCAGAATGACAGCCCTTCTCTCCCAAACCAGGCCCAGCAGCTACATCTGTGTGGGATGATGCACAGCACTGCCACGCATCAGTTTCTGTCTTGGGGCGTGTACAGGCTGCGCTGTCATGGCAGTGACCTATTGTTGCGTACACGCTTCTCTTATGTGGCTGGTTGCAGCTGATGTGCTTCTGTGTGGTAGATGTGCCGAGTGTATGGCCAGTGTGTGAAGCACAGGGAGGATCTATGGAGCAGGGCGTTCAAGTGCCTCTGTAAAATGTTGGCTTGGCTGCACTGACCAGAGCGCTGGGTTCTGCTTATGCTGAAGTGGTGCAGCACAAAAACCTTTCCATGTGACTCTCCTTCTTATACTCCAATCTAAATGACAGAACTGTTAAGTTCAAATGACCCAAATATGCCTTATATAAAGAAGGCGTCATCTCGAATGAGAGTCTGTGTCAGAAACTTGCAATGGCAAGAATAATGTACCGTTGAATGCACGTTGCACAAAATTCCTTCATATATAGCAAAATTATCAGTAACTTCTGGCACTTGAGGAAATAAAAGAATGAGGAATGGGTGGGAGGTCTGTTCACTTCTGCTGCTGCATGCTCAAGTAATACATTGATTTGTCAAAAAGATGGTGTTAGCAAGTGCTTCGTGTAGTCACTGTGTGTGGAAAATAACCTTGTGTTTTGTCGTGTTGCTTTTGCAGCTACTCGTATTACCTAGTTATTAATCATTGCTGCATGTAATGTGACAGTGTTAGCCATTGCTCCCTCTCTCTGCCAGGCTCATAGGATTTCCATCTAGTTTTTCAGTGAATTTATTGTTGCCTTCCAACTTGCTGCTTCCTTTTTGTTTGTAAAGTCTAGAATCATAAAAAAAAAAAATCACTGGAAGTGTATTAAATAAAGCTTATTTTACTTAAATCTACATATCAACGTTTAGACACAAATCATGATGGTGAAAAGCATCATGATGTTCAAGAGTCAGCTAGTTGTTACAAATTCGGAAGTTATCAAAGGGAAAGAATGCTAGTGGAATATCTCACTTCATTTTACTATTAATGTAGAAATAAAAAGCTGAAACACTGTTAGTAATAAGTACAGTTTTATGGATAGTGGACTTGAAATCAAAGCATTTTGCATGTTAATACAAATGTGCACCTGTATCTGAAAACAGGAAAGGTTAAAATGCCTGTTAATCAAAATGTGTTGCACTTACTATAACAGTAACTTATATAATCTTTTTAGAGGGACTTTCTACAGTGGATATAAAAACTGTGATGGAGAAGATATTGGCAGGGTGGAAAGATGTGGTTCAACATCTGGAAGAAGGGGCGAGAAAGATAAAGTACCAGGAAGATATAAATGCTTGTTTTAGGGAAATGAGTGAGCTTGAGAAGACTATACTTGAGAAGGACGGCTGGCTTAGAAACAACGCTTCTTTAGCATCCCAGCCCTCAGCAGTCCTGAAAGACTTATGTCAGGTAAGTCTGGCAAAACTCGTTAATTTTGATTGGAAGCTATTGGAAGCACAGAATACTCCAGAGGAGCTTAACCTAGTCAGTAAGGTAACTTAAAATTTCTGAGGCATCGGGGCACCCAATTTGACTGGGAGATTCGGGTACTTGTGTCACAGGAGTACTTTAATGTTGTGGCCTTAGTAATGTGGAGGAGCTGTGCTGCAGTAGCTTACTAAAATCTTTGTGTTAACAAGTGTGAGATTTAGTTTTCTTTTTAATCTTTCACAGCGGGAGTTAACTCATCTTGTAAGCCTGAGTCCACGGGTGGAACACCTGAAAGCCACCTGCAAAGCACTCTCCTCTCAGCCCATGCCTCCAAGCTTCATTCAGGAGAGCTTGAATGCTTTTCTTGATCTCTTCAAGCTGACTCATCAGAAATTAGAGGAACATCACCAGCAGCTGAAGAAAGGTAAAAAACCAAAATAATTATGTTTTTTAACATAAGCCCTCCTGATACTTGTGTTCTGATCTTTTGTTGTTTTGAGCTGATTGAAAACTCACTGAATTCTGCTAGAGTTTTGGTACTGATTCTGGGAGGCTTTGGGTCAGGCTGACAAAATCTTTTTATTCACCTGAAAGGATATTTGTATGACCTCCTTTGTGCACACTACAAAATATATTGTTCCATGGTGGTAAAAGTGATTATGCAAGGATGCAACACTCCTGAAACTACATTTAAGGAATTAGCAAGATGTACTTAAGGTAGATAATATAGTTTGAAAAGCTGTGTGTCTCTGGCACTTACAGAAATAAATAATAATACTAGAAATTAAAAATGGAAGATTAGGAGAACCTTGTAAAATTGAAGTGCGCATGTGAAACTTATTCTTTTTCATAGCTGCTTTGAGCACATTAGTCATACATAATTCCTTTTGAAAATTTCATCTTTTGAAGTGATTTGGAATCTGCCTTTCTTTTCAGGCACTTTCTCCTTGGGTTTTTGTTGTGTTAAAAATTTCATTATGAGCATTCAAACCAGTCATGCTGGCTTCTAAAGGATTTTAAATGTAGTGCACAAAATATGTAGGTCTGTTAATATTTTACAGCTGAATAGCAAGAGCACAGACCTACAAGATTTCTTTCCTTAGTTTTCATTTTGTTTCTCAGGAATTCAAGGAAGCATTTTGCTAATGGCCCCAAATGGTAAAGCATTAACACTTTATTCTGTGTATAAATATCTGTGTGTTAAAAAAAAAAAAAATCAATCTTCTGTAATAAAAATAGGCTCAATTACTAAATTGTTAGGCCATCTATACAATGTGTTGCAACAGGCCTGCATGCTTTGATTATATCCATGCAGAAAACTATGAATAATGTATGTGTGCCATGCTCAAATTACAGGGTAAGCTTGCATTCTTACTGTAAGGAATGATTATTTTATGACTGTTCTGACTTGATGTACTTTTGAATAGTTTTATCGGTATTGAGTATTTTACTAACCATTACTTGATGTGACAGAAATGCTCCTTACTTTTTCATGCCACACGCCACTTGAGGCATTATTAGTGTATTTGAGCCAGTTACTACTTGGTAGAAACACCTTGCATATTGTAGTATGTTAAATTTGTATTTGTGTATTTTTTGAATGACAATTTCTCTGCAGATTGTGTATTGCTGAAGAACAGAGGGAAATGTCAGTTCAGAGTTTCAGTTGTTTATTAGTTTAGTCTGAATTGCTGTAAGGTAAAAGAACTTCCAGAGCCATGTAACTGAGAGAAACAACTGGTGGTGGCAGTTGAGCATTTGTGAACTTGGCAGGCTTTGACAGAGGTCCGGCTCCTTTCATGGCTGCTCTTTGAACCTCTGACAATTCCCTCATGGAGTGCTACTCAGTCCCATCTATGGGAATTGTGACTTAGTATTTTTGTCAATGGGAGGCTGTTTTCACTATTTTCTTCTCCTTCAGGATTTGCTGTAGTGAGCAGCGCACCTATTTGCTTTTTGCTGAATTCTTTTTTTTTTTTCCCCTTTGAATTGATCCTGGCATTTTGAGAAGAGGAAGCGAGGTAACTCTGATTCTCTAGAAACATTGGCTCATTCCTTAGTTATAAATGGTATGACAGTTCTGACAGTAAGCTGTTGAAAAGCTACCTGGTGAGTCAGAACAAAGCTTAGATTAATTTTCACTTGTGGCAGTAATGAAATTGCTCAGGAATCAAAGGCCAGAGAATGAGCATACCACAATACAGGTCTTACAGCTGAAATCCTGTTTGCAGCAATTTTCTAAATTTGATATTTTCATTCTGAATTGCCAGAGTGAGGTGCTGCCTCCTGCCTGGGATTCCACAGGGGGGTGGCTCGAGCATAAATCTGAGATGCAGTCAATGATTGCAAGTAGATACTGTATCCAAACTTCAGTTCTCTTTTCAGTCTTCCCAGATAGTCTCTGTTCTGGCAACAGGCTGAAAGCTGCTATTCTTATATATTTGCGCGCGCGTGTGTGTGTGTATATAAAAAATGGAAAAAAACCCAAACAAAACCTAAACCCAAAAAACCAAACCCGAAACCCTGCTACTACACTAATAAATATTTTATGTGTTTTTTATATATGTGTATATAAAAATACTAGCTTATATAGTTACTATATGTAGTGTGTATATTTAACTTCATATGTAATATATGGCTATTATATATTCTATACTGCATATTCTATATAGTGGATATCTGTGTTTTCATATAAGTAGTAGATATGTCTAAAACTTCTTAAAATGAGAAATACTAAATTATGGGGATTTAGGAATGCAAAAGCCCAAGTACTATTGATTCCACCACCTTGCCCACCCCAAGAGATTTAGGTTCTTAGGTATGTAAGAAAATTCTAAAAACAGGATTTGAGTTTTAAAATTTTTTTGGGGGTGTTGTCATCGTATATTTATTATTATATTCTATATAATACATATTTTTACATTAAATGTATATAATATTTTTTAAAATTAAAACATTGCCATCAGAAGAAGAGAGGTTTTTAGCTCTTGGGAGGTCTCAGTAGGATTCAATAATCAAGTATATCTCAAATGATTTCTTTTTTTAAATGATTCTGATCACTTGGTTCACCTCTTATAATTTTGGTCTCATGTCTTATTTCCTTACCTTGTATTTTGTTCCGTTACTGTTCTTAATGACACTAGAGATGGAAAGTCAGCCGAGCCAGGACTACGTGGCCTCCCTGCAGAGGCTGAAGGACACTCTGAGCGAGCTGGAGCGCAAGCAGCCGTCCATCGCCAGCGGGCTGAGCGAACCCAGTAAGGTTGAGAAGGCCCTGCAGCAGGCGAAGGTAACTCCTGCCTTCGCGCTGAAGCGAGGAAGTTGCTTGTTCAGCTGCTGTTTCTCCTGCCTTGTTTTCAGTGGAGTAACTGTTACTCGGAGCGTGGTCGAGTGGTGTGTGGAGGTGGCCTCTGGAGGTCGCTTGCTGAAAGCTGGGTCGCCGCAGGCTGCTGAGGAACGCGTCCGGGCAAGGGCTGGGTATCTCTGAGCCTGCAGGCTTCACAGCTTCTCTTGCTGCCTGTGCCAGGAGACGAGGCCAAGACAGCTGGGACTGCTCGGCCAGGGGAAGAGGAGGCTCTGAGGGGTCTTCCCTGAAGTGCTGCAGCACCTCAGACCACCTTGGCAGCCTCCCCAGTCTGTCTTGTGCTGAGGAGCCCCAAAACACCAGGGCCCCAAGAGCATTCCCCTCGTAGGAGCTCGGCTGGATCAGGTTGGTGACCTGATCTGAGGTCTGCTGCTTTGCGTGGTTATGAGGAAGGCCAGGAGCCGGGGCCTCCCCTTCCCTCCCTTGGGAGCTGCCTTTCAGCTCTCCCTGCCTGAGCTGCACAGCAGCTGCCTGGCAGCCATGCCCGTGCCCAGCCTGCTCCGCCTGGCTGTCCTGGGGAGGCCATGTCCCCGCCCTGTGGCAATATGGGCTCCCTGACCCTGCCTCTGCCCTCCCACTGAGGCCGTGGTGCGCGGGCTTGTAATCCTCTCCTCTGAGCACTGGCTACAGCATACCCAGATGTGGGGTGCCTGCCTGCTTAAACTGGCACTGGGGTGCCGCTGGTTAACAAATCCATCCCATTTCATCCTACTCAGCTGTTATGAGAGGGTAACTGTACTTCTCTGGCCTCCAGATTGCCTTTCACAGGGAAACGGTGCTTGCAAACCATAAAGGTAGTTCATGCACAAATTCTGCCCAGTAGAAACAGTATTTTGTTTCCTATTATGAGCTTATAAAGTAGGGTAAAATCTGTGGATGACAGTTGCTTTGTAAATGTCAGTTAATGGGACAAGGCTGGAGTGAGGGGAAAGAATTGTACATCTCCAGTACTTTTTCTTTCTTTTTTCCTTTTCTTTAAAAAATCGTGGACAAATACTTCCCTGTGCCCTCCACTGTGCCCCGCTGCTTTTGTGGAATCACACTTAGTTCAGAAACATGTATTTTTCCCTTTGTGGTGGCATAAGAGATCTGTAGCTGACTCTGGAGGAGCTCTAGATCTCCAGTTACTGGGTAGAGAGAAGCCATGTCTGTCTTTATTCAGTGGAGAGTGATTAAGTAGGTATTTTTAAAAACCCAGTAAACAGTAGTGTTAGTGCTTTGTGGTTTTGAACCAGCAGATTAAGAAAAGTTCCAAGTTCTTTGGCTTTCTCTTCCAATATTACTTCTGTATTGTTTAAAGTTTGCAGATTTTTTTCTGGTCCATATGCTGGCTGAATTGCAATGGCATTTAGTCTTTGGAAGCTTTTCTCTTCAGACTTCTGCCCAAATCCCTCCTCCCTCTTTTATTCAGAGACTAATTAACCTGAAAGGATATACTATGCCAGTGCAGGAGCTTTAAAGAGTGTGACAGGAGATTGGCGCAAACTGTAGATGATGAGCTGCTTGTTGACCTGGGATTGTCCAGCTCCTTCTGCACTGTAGCAGACACTGATAAGTGCTTCAGGCGCAGATCCAAGCCGGGGAGTGCCTCACTCTGTGGCCCCCTGTGCAGAAAGTTCTTGTTTGCAGAAACATAAATCCCTCTTCCAAGCTTTATTGCTACCTCACTACCTATCGTTTTAGAGGAAATCATAAAATCATTAGCCTAGGATAGACCTCTAAGATCATCAAGTCCAGTTGTTGATCTAATACCACCAAGCCCACTAAACCGTGTCGAGAAGCGCTACATCTGCATGTCTTTTAAATACCTCCAGGGATAGTGACTCCACCACTTCCCTGGGCAGCCTGTTCCAATGTTTGACAACCCTTTTGGTAAAGAAATTTTTCCTAATGTCCAATCTAAACCTCCCCTGGTGCATACAACCTCATTTCAGGTAGTTGTAGAGAGCGATAAGGTCTCCCCTCAGCCTCCTCTTCTCCAGAGTAAACAGCCCCAGTTCGCTCAGCCACTCCTCAAGACCTATTCTCCAGACCCTTCACCAGCTTCGTTGCCCTTGTATTCTGTTTCTTTCATGTAAATACAAAGTAAAATTGAGGACATAAACAAATTGATAGAAGATTCTTCCTCAGTAAAATGCAGTAAAATATATGTGCACCCATGAGATGTATATACTAGCAAAGTTAAATTCTTACAATTAGTAACATTTTAATGTGTTCATTCCAAATTTCTTTATTAAAGAAATTTTAAACAGGATGGCCAAAATGACTGCTTTAGTGAAGTGGCAGCATTTGGCTTACACCTTCAGCTGTTAGTATTCCTTAATATTAGGAAATCGGCTATTTCAGCTCAAGTGGCGCTTCGTATCAGTGATGCCATAGTGAATATATTCAGATTGTATCCTCACTGTGCTCCAGCTGGAAGGGTAGCTTTCAAAACTCAACTATCCAGAGATTTCATTGCAGCTAGCTGTTGTAATAATTTTACTTTACAAAACTTGGAAGTACACACCCAGCCTGTTTGTGTGGGCTTTATTTCTTGTTTTTTAAAAAAATTATCTGTGGAGGGAATGCGAAAACTGAGGTCCTGGTACGTCTACATTGCAGTTTCTTTTGTGACTGCAGTATAGTGTAGCCATTGCTTTGCGAACTTGGGTGCCAGTACCGCACAGCGCAGGAGAGGTGTGGGTGCCTGGGTATGTTTAGCTTCGTGGCCAAGCTTTACAGCCCATTCTGTAATCTCTGCTATTGCATCAGTAGAGCAGCTGAAGGTGTTGCTGCTTAAAAGGGTGTTTGGACAACCCTGCTGCGATAACTGCAGTAACTGGAATATCACTCTTCACTGAATCTGTGCTCTGCTCAACAAAACCTTTGATGTACTTGCACCTGTAGGTAAATGTGTACTTGTATGGATAATACTGTAAGCGGACTTTTTTTTTTCTTGTAGACTGTTTGTGAGACACTGGAAGCCCAGAAGCCCAGGATAGATAAACTTGCTGAAGAAACAAAGGCTTTGGAGAAACATGGTTCTTCTGACATCAAAAAGGTCTACATGCAAGAGTTCAAGCATGTGCAGGGACACTGGGACAAGTTAAAGCTCAAGTTTTCCAAAGATGTTAAACTACTGGAGGAAATTACATCAAAGTTGAGAATTTTTGAGGTAAAATTAAATGATTTTTTTGGTTACATGTTAGTTGTTTTAGAGCACTTTCTTTCTCTGTATTCCTGCAGGAGTTCAGATGATGCTGATTAAGAACTGAAATGTTGATGGGCCCCTAGTCTGGCAGAGGCTGGAAGCATATATAGTGTATCTGTAGCAGGGTAGCAGAGGACTCTTTAACGTAGCCAGGATATTATTTTGTCTTCTAATATAATTACTTTTCACTTAAAATTAGCATTCCTCCTCTTTCAATATCAGAAGCAAAGGTTACATTAAAGTCAAGGTTATGTCAGCTGTGCTGTTGAAGGCTTGATCCCACCAGGGGCTGAGTGCCCTCCGTTGTGGTTGTTGTTGTGCCCAATGCCTTGGAATCTAAAATTGAAATTCCATACCTGCTACAGATAACCTGCTCCTTGAAGTGGGGTTTCTGTCAACAATAATAAAAAACCAGTAGTCTATTAAATGAAGAAGTAAAGAAAATGCTTAGGTATAATGAGTTTTCCAGTTCCAACAGATGGCTTCTGAAGTGTCGGGAAGGAGAGTTAAAAGAATTAAGATTAATCAGCACTCATATTTTATTTTTTTATATATATATAAAAATAAAAATAAAAAAATATACACACATATGAAATCCTGCATGACAGAAAATGCCAATGCTTTGAAAATGAAGAGATTAAAAGCAAGGGTATTTAAAGGGTATTTGGATGTTTAACCCATTGATAAAGAGAGGAGAGATAAGTGCTTAAGTAACAGCCAAGTTGACTCAGTGTTTACTGGTTGGATGGGTTTCTTTGTTTACTTTAAGTCCCTTCTCTAGACTCTGAGGAGAGAAAAAAAACAGTGAAAACTAAATGTGTTATGATTTAGCCCATAGCAATATTAGTGTGACCCAAAAATAAAATAGGCATTAACCATTCTTCAATATCAGCTTGAAGGTACAAGCTGATCAGAGCAGTATAAAAGCCCAGATATAGTGCCATGTTGTTTTTCCTAGAGTAATGTTTAACTAGACTTTGTTTCGTATTATTTTAAGTTTCATGTTGTATTTTAAACTTCAAAAAGCAAGAAGTTGCTTTGAGAGATTCTCTGTCTGCTGGGATGAAGGCACGTGTACATTAGCTAACAGAACTCTGTATTTTCTGCATGCATTAAACATTTTAATGTGTGGAATTATTTCCTTTCTTTTCCGTTTAAGAGAGTATGTATCATGCAACTTATAAACATAAGCAACTTGCTGCGTGTACCCTATTCAGAACATTGATGCCGTGCATGCACACCACCACTTTTCCCCCAAGGTTTCTTTCAAACTTTCTCTCCCTTCTCTCTGAAGCATAAAACTTCTTTTATTTGATAATGGATTCAAACTCTAAACTACGTGGTTTGAGGGTTTTTTTAAAATTTATTTTAAGCCAGACAGGATCTTTAATGACTACTCAAGTACACACACACATGTTTAAACTGAAATTTATATTAGTAGGGCCAGGTAATTGACTTGCATGATGTTGCAGTGGAAGTTGGACAAGCCATTCCTGATTGTGGTTTGGTAGTAGTAAAAGGCTTAAGTGTAGGGGTTTCTTTTTTCCTTTTTATTTTATTTTTTAATTTAAACCACAGACCTGGAAGAAGTCATAATAGAAGATTGTAACTAAATGACAATTAAGAGCAGAGTGCCTGCCCTGTGCTCCCATGAGAAGTTTTACCTGGGGCAGGGGGGAAGGCTGGAGGTAAAAACTTGCTCCAGTTTAAAAAGTGTCATTCGCTAATTATTTGTTTCAGGACTTGAGCTGCTTCTAGCAGTGTGTGGGGGGTGGTGTGTATGTATCAATAGCATAGGTATTGATAACTAGTCCAGTCTAGGCTGATGAAATTGTGAACAGAAGCTACAAACCAACCTATAAATACGAGGAGGAATTACAAGTTTCCAGAGGAAAAATGGATGTTCTTTTATATAATGCTTTTGTGTAATATTGTGAGGCTGGATTATCTGAAGCATAAAGATACAAGTTATCCCTGCCTCCGCCCCCCTGCCCCACTCCTCCTTAAAAAACCTATTCAGGAATATGTGTACTTGTGCACCTACGTTTGAAAGAGTTTCTGCTTTTAGTCTGGTTGCTTTAAACCCATCCTTCTGCAGCTACTTGCAGCAGCTGGTGGGATGATGTGGAGCTGTGAAGGAGCTCATGCTGCTGGTCAGCAGGAGCTGGCTTCCCAAAGTGAGCTGGCTTGTACAGGAGCCTAAAAGAAATTAAGTTCTTAAACTTAGCCAAGCCCTTGGTGATTATTTTCCAGCAATCACCTCCTCATTAATTTTTCTCCTGATTTTGATCTAAATGTAAATATCCCACTGAGTCTCATTCTCTTCCCTTCCCTCTCTTCCTGGTTACACTTATTAGTTATTTAGCATGACGGAATAAATATTCTGCATGTAAGCCTGCCTCAATGTCCTTTGTGCAACAACTTTCTATCAGTCTTGTTCTTCAAGTGATTGCAGCTTTCCAGTAGCTACACTGAGCAAGACCTACTTTTACCTCATCAGTTTTAGTAGCATTTTTTTCTCCCTTAATTTCTTGTAAGTGCAGAACTCTTCTTTTTCTGCACTTGAATCGTGTTCAGTTGAGTGGTCTATACATGCGCCTAGTTTCCTAAATAACAGCTTTAACTGGGTGAAGAATGGCTCCTGAAAACTGAAATTCTCTCATGTTTAACTGGGAGTAGGGTACACGTGTGCAGTGTTAGCATGGCAGGTTTTTATTTAGCAATCAATTATTCAGCTCCACAGTGTTGTTTGTACCACCATGTTTACAAATCACTCGCTGGTGAGCAATACAGATTTCTATACGCAGAGGAGTTTTGAAGAGCCTGTGGAGAGCAGAGCCTTGAAGCTGCATGCTGTTGTATAGATCTGAGAATAGATTTTTTTTTTTTCCTAAGCAAGATGTTGAAAACTTTCCTGTTAACTTAAGAAGTACAGAAGCTGAAAAAGAAATTAAAGCAGAAGAAGCAATGGAAGTAATTTCAAAGTAATTGAAAATGGAAGAAATATGTAGTGGTGCTATCTGTAGAGCTATGGGGCTTGCAGTGGGGGTGTTTTCTCATGAACTGAATTTTTAAGTACACAGTTCCTGTGTTTTCTGAATGTTCTATAAAGCTCTCAGTGGATGGACAGTCATGTATTTGTTCTGATTTTTTTTCCTTTTGAAGGAGTGATAGTGATCTATACAGAGATTTTTGTAGTCTAGCATTGTATGAATGAGAATGTGGAGCAAGTTGAATAAAAATGTGGGTGGCGTTGGGCAGAAAAGGATGGAACTTGCACTGCAAGAAAGATTGATGCAGGAGACTGGGTATGTGGTCCTGGTGCAGACATGAATGGGTCTGTACTGGGGATGTGATACCAGAGACACAAGTTTAGTTTGAAGAATGGCTGGGCAATATCTTCTTGGTTAAGGGAGGAGATGAAACATCTGGCTATTAAAGGAAAAAAAAAATAATGTGAAAGTGGGGAAGAAAGGAAAAAAAGAAAAAGTGAATGACAACCGTTGGAGAATATATGGTTATGTGCAGCTACACACCAGTGTTGGTTTATTTTCAATGTTTCTTTTTTCCTGAGTTACCTTTAAAAACTGGCATTTCCCAGAACAGCACTCCTCACATTTAGGTTTCTGTAAGAAATCAATTGTAAGTATTCTCATTTTAATGGTGAGCAGACAGGTGACCAGTGCTTAAAATGCCCTTGTTAGTCTGGTGAGCAAGTCACTGGCAGATCTGCCTGTGAGTCCTGCAGCTTAGGTGGCCCTCCTGTGATTTGTGATGTGACAGAGGCTCCCCCAAGCTGACAACATGTGTATTAGTGACATGATCTGTGTTTTACTGTGAGGCTGCCTGTAATACTCATGTGACAGGAAAAGCAGACATGACTAATTTTATCAGTTTTTGCCTCTTGTATTTTCTAGAAGAAAATTTCTGTCTCTTGTAGTCTCTGTTATCATACCTCTAATAATGCGTGGCTTGCTGTGTCTTAGATTATGTATCACCTTCAGGTCTTTTAAATCGACTGCATGGCTGTACATCATTCTAGTAGTGAACAAGTTAAAATTCAGCACGTTTGATCTTTGCTTCTCCCTGCAATAGATTTTAGAAACTGATCCAGTGTTCTAGTTCATGTCTAAAAATTGGGAGCTTTTCTACATCAAGAACCTATACTGGGTGTTTGACCCTTGGTAATTATTTACCTGCGGAGTACAGGAGCATTTACTTCATTAAACTTCTGTAGACTTGGCTTGTGATTCAGCAAGTTATTTAAATGTGTGCTGAACTTTGTGAGTAAACCCATTTAATTCACTTCAGCTCCTTATGTAAGTAGCTTACTGTAAGCAAGCTAAATTAGGTATATGCTAAAATGCCTTGTCAAATGACAGCCTTTATAAATATGCATTTTTTTTTACATTGAGCCATGGTTCACTGTTAAGCCTCCTGGGGTCTGTTTTTTGGGAAAATGATTTTCAGGCTAATCAGCTACAGGAAATTGCCCCAAAATGGAAAAGGAATGAAGAAAATGTCATGACTTCGACCTCTAATGGTAGCATTGGCCTAAAAATAAACATGATCTTAGTCTAATGGGTTTTCATTAGTACAGACGTTTTTTTGAGAATCAGTGTGTAACATATTGATCCTGAAAGAAAGGTTGTTGCAAGGTTTTTAAAGTGAAGTGTGTGCCTGCCTCCCTGCAGAGTAGGTGATGAAGCTGATGAGCTTTGACTTGGCTTTTCAGTAGCAGTGCTCTGTGATGATGATTGTGTCAGAATAAAAAGATGCCATTATTAAAAAACCCAACCAAACAGTCCAAAAATGTTGATTAAAAAAGTCCAACTATATTATTAAAAAACGACAATCGCATAACTGAGTTGAACCAGCACAAAGAAATACTTTCTCCCTGCTCTAAGCTTGTGGTAGTTTTGTTTGTCAGGGAGACTGGAAACATCCACAACTGCTTGGGAAGGAGAAGACACCCTCTTGTCTGTCTCCCCACCTACCTCATCACAGGATGTAAGGCAACTGCCAAATGTTACGTCAGATAACTCTGAAATTGTGTATGTATTTAGGTTTTTTTCGCTGTGCACTGTTCTAGTGAGTACAGTAGCTGCTATTTGCCTCAGCTAGGTTGTGTGGTTTTTTTGGTGGTTTTTTTGTTGTTGTCGTTGTTTAGTGGTTAGTCTAATTCTCTGTGGTATTTTTCTTTTGTGCTTGTGTTTCTCTGTAAGGCAAATGGCTTTCCCAGCATAGCTTCTACCTGTCAAGTATCTTTAGCATTACCCCCCTCCTCTTCTCCCCACATATATTTCTGCAGGGAGCTCTCTTTTCCTTGGGGTGCAATATGTTTCTCGAACGACTGTGGTGGAAGCACTTGTACATGGTTTCTGCTGCTATTCGCAGCCTTCAGCCAGGCCCTTCATGTGAAGAGTAACCACATACTACTTGAAGCCTTGCTTGCCTCCTTACTCAATCCTGTGTTTCTGTGTGATAAATAGCCTGGAGCAGCGCAGTCAATTAAACCATGCTGTGGCGTGGATGGGAGAATACCTCTGTTGTGAATTTAACTTTCATATAAATTTGAGAATAGAGACAAGGAGGTGGGGGGTGGCAGGGATGGGATGATACAGATGACAACACCAAAAAAACAGCAAACAACCAAAACAAAAAATTAAACCAAAGGTGGTCTGATTCAAAACCAAGGCAGTGCTGACAGCCTGTGGAATATTCTTTTGACACTGCTAGAAGTTGAAATGCAACAGCCATACATTCTTCATCGTGGCATTGTATCAACTCATTACTATATGTGATTTAGGCTGATTCAAAAGTCGTTCAGAAGTGGATGGATGGTGTGAAAGACTTCTTAATGACAGAAAAGACCGTTCAAGGAGATACCGAAGGACTTCAAAGACAACTTGACCAGTGCACAGTGAGTTTTGCTCTTTTAAGAAATCTTTTAAAATAAATAATGACTAGGATCTCTTTCTTGTTTTGCTTGTATTATTACATATTGCCCATAGCATATTCCATAAAGCTTGCCAGAAGAATTGCCTTATCTTTCTTCAGGACACATTTTAATTGGTTCCCTGTATGTAGCCATAACACTTTGGGCTTTTCAAAGGTTTTGACCAAATTTACAAATACTCATCTACAAGTTGACATTATTTCCTCTGAAAATGTTTGTATATTTTTCTCAATTTTGTGATTAGGGAATTGAATCTGAGAGTGAAAAGTGTGTTCTGCGTTAAACTCCCAAGGGTAATAAAAATAACAAACAAATAGTTCTGATTAAACTCCTAGGGTTTAGGAATTGTATGTGCCTTACCAGTAGGATTGCTTCCTAGCTAGTGGCACATAATGGTCACAAATAGGTAGAATTTTATCTTATAGTAAGTAATTCCAGTGTACTTTCGAACTTTTATTTCTGGAAGGAGAATACAAGTCTGAGGTATGCCAGAAACATCAGGGTATTTAGTGCACATGATCTTCAGACTTGCGTTGTTCCAGTGTTGATATTTGGCATGTGAGAATGTTTGCACTGTGTATGGTGAGCTGTGTTCTCCTATTTTAGTTGCATAGTTCTGATGTTTTGGGCCACTGAAGGATTGTTTCAAACAGTCTGGTATTGAACACAGCATCAGTCTGCTTTTTTATTAAAGTTATTAAAGTTTATTAAAGTGGAATAATTAAAAATTACAAAATCCTATAAATTTATGTGATGTCTTGCTAAAGAACAACATTCGCTTTTTTTCTGATGTGTGTTCAGATGTTTGTCAATGAAATGGAGAAAATTGAACCATCACTGAAAGAGATGAAAGAAGTAGAGTCTGCTTTAAGAGCTCAGCCTATTGCAAGCATAAATACTTGGGCAAAGTCTAGGCTAGTAGACTGCCAGACTCAATGGGAGAAACTGAGCAAACAGGTGAGTTCTCCGTACGTTGCTAGTGCTTGCTGCTTACTGCAGCTGTTTGTTCGATTGTGTGGCATTGGTAGGATGGTGAAGAGGTGGAACAGTGAAACAGTGGGACGAGTATGTTTTACTTGTTCCACTGAGAGTGGCTGAAATCCAACTTGTCCCAGTGAATCCTTCAGAAGCACAAATATATTAGTAGGGGATACCTGTGCAACAGTAGTTTTGTTTGAATATATGTACTTCTTGGTACCTAACTGAAAGGAGCACAGTGAACTCTAATCGTTTGTAACTAAATGTTATTTCGATAGCTTTGCCTCATGCTGCTCTTTCTGGGGTGGGTGGGAGGGAAATCTGATGGTTTTGTTCTGTTGTTCCTGAAATCTGGAATATTATTCTGTCCCTGTGTAATTTCTGCCAGCTTTAAAAAAAAAAAAAAGGCTATAAATAGACTACCACTTCATTCTGATGTATGTGGTTGTTTCTTTTGGCTGGAAGCTTTCTGCTGTCTGTAGAAACATACTTCTTTCTTTGCAATGCCTGGTGAGAATCTGCGGTGGAGAACCTTGCTGTTGATACAGAATCCAGATTGCCTGGGCTGTGGAAAGAAGTGAGGCCTGAAGGGTGTTCTAGTGCTCTGCATAAAGATATATCTAACTGTATGATAGCTGTGATCAGAGAAGGGGTTTTGTTCCATCTTGATGACTTCTGGGTATTGTTACCAGTTTACACACAATAAGGAAAAAAGGTCATGTTCCTCCTTCTCTCACCTAGATCTTGTTGATCTACTAAAAAGGGATCATGAGTGTGTGTGTGTCTGTGTGTGTAAAAAGTCTTTTGTTAATTAAAAAGGCCTGAAAATGTTTTGGTAGTAAAATGTTTTAACAAAGAACTTTTGGGTTTTTTCCACGTATACAAGGGCGTTTAAGTAACAAAACTGCTGTTTCTTTCTCCACCTTGGATTCTAGATTGTTAGTCAGAAAAATCGCCTGTCTGAAAGTCAGGAAAAAGCTGTAAATCTGAAAAAGGATTTGGCAGAGATGCAAGAATGGATGACCCAAGCTGAAGAAGAGTATTTGGAGAAAGATTTTGAATACAAGTCCCCTGAAGAGCTAGAGAATGCGGTGGAGGAAATGAAGGTCAGGAATACAAGGTCATTGTAGAGACCTGATTAAAGAGAAACAAAAGTTAATGGCTTTGGGGGCTGACCTTGTGTGGAATTATTATCTGTGTGGAAAGGAGCTCAGGTAATGACAAGATAAGTGGTATTTTTCAGCTTTGCTTTGTGGAATTTTTGTTTTTAAAGCACGAACTATAAAAGCAGATGTTCTGTTTGGCAGCAAGGGATAGGGATTTCATAATGAATAGCAGCTTGCCCAGCTGTTGAGCCAGGCATATGTGTAGCATATTAAACACTAAGAATATGGAAACTTATTGCAGGAGATTAAACTTGCGAAAGAAAGAAAAGGTGATATTATACCTGTCTAAATTAGCCGTTGTGAAAACATATTCTTCTGCTTCTAGCTGTTGGGCTTCTGTTCCTTGTCACCTAGATATAGTAACTCAACAGTTAGAAAAGCAGTTTAAAACAGTTCTGTTGTCAGGTTATTTTGTGTGTTCCTAATCTGTTCATGCTGGTCCCTGCTTCTCTAATTTTGGGACTGCTGGCCAGAAGAAAAAAGGGAGAGGAAGGAGCTATTTTTCTCTCATTATAAATTACCAGTTGAATAGCTAATTCTCTTGGATGTATATACAGAATAAACAATAATTCTCTCTGCTTTTAGATCTGAGAGTTCAGGCATATCTTCACAAGTGTTTTGACTTGTATACATGTTATTTAAATGAGTATCCACTACACTGTTACTTGATGGAGCATTAAATATTTTGTTTTCTCCCTTACAAGTGCTTTGACAAATCTATTTGAAGCTTTGAATTGTTCTTTTTGAAGGGGCTTTTCTGAAGTGGTCTTCAACAAGTCTTTTAATAGATTCATGCCCTTTGAAGC